ACGTTCTATATAAAGAACTCATGCGAAACATAAAGCTAGTCTGAAATATTCAATTCTCAAAGACTCGATTTGAACTCAATAGTTTGTTCAATATGTCACTCTCGAATGGCATAATGGATAAATATTGAAGCTGTTGGGTCCCTGAACCTGGTATCAATTGCATTTTTTTTTTTTTTTTTTTGTAAAGTTGAATGATGTCGACAATTTAATTTCTCGCAAGGCAAGACCGCTATCCAGAGCGAAAATTCTCTTTCTACAAACAATGTGTGCTATCTCTGTATATTGGATCAATATCTACAAAACTCATGTCCATAAAAACTTCATCGATATTACAAAAAATGCATTTATATATTTTTATATATCACATTTTGTTTTTACCTTGATATATATATGTATTTTTTTTCATTATAGTAATTTTAAAAAGTTGCTTTTTAAAAATACCAAAATGAATATTAAAGTTTAAAATTTTTTTTTGCAAATCTTATTTGCGATTTGTGAAAAATATATCGAATATGAGGTAAGAAGTTTTTATAAACATTTTGTTTTTCGTCATTACATCACGTGCAAATGCATATTCATTTTATATGTATCGTTGAACGTGCGTAAATTGGGTTAATTAACTGAGCTACTCTAATGCGAAAATAGGCATTACTGTTACGTCAAATGCATCCAATGTTCAACTTTCCGTTTCGTTTTTAATACACTATACTGACAACGCACATCAACTTCATTGTCGTCAACTCTTCTATATTTAATTAGTTTTTAATAAGCAATAAAAAAAAAAAGAAACGAGAGAAACCTAATAGCATAAAAACTATAATAATTTTTAATTTTTCTCAAACTATTTTTCGAAAAAAAATGTTTAAAATAAAAAAAATTATTTTTTCTAAAAAGAAGATAAAGTAAATTGTACAGAATCTATATAATTTTTTTTTTTTTGCAAATAAAATTATTTGACAAAAAAAAAAAAGGGAAATTATAAAGAGATTTTAAATATAAAAATACTTTGAACTAAATTACAAAACAACAATTGGCAAACGACCAATTGTCTTTTATGAAGACGAACAAATTGCTGACTGTCCATTGTTAGCTGTTTTTAACAGCGAGTTTGAGATGATAAACTATACGTATATCGCATACACAACTGATTGACTCGATTGCCAGCTAAATAGCACGTGACACGTGTATTAAAGCATATGGGACATCTCTCTCTCTCTCACTCTCCCAATTACAGAGTCTGATGAAGAAGACTACACTTCAAAAACTCTAACGTGGACCATCTTTTAATTAAAATTTATGTCTATTTTTAAGAATCGTCTTTAATATGAAAAAAATATCACGAAAAAAGAGAAGAAAATTTATTTTAACATCGTAATTAATTTTCATTAAATATTGAACTAGATTACTTGGATGAATTATTAAAAAGAAAGAATGCAACTTTTTTTGAGGGCTAAAATTCCATCTCTCTCTCTCTCTCTCTCTCTCTTATTCTAAGAACTTATTGAGATTAGATTTTAATTAAGCAGTTTCTACCAGGAAAACTAAATTTGACTTTTCATTTTGCTAATATTCCAAGAAAAAAAAAAGAAAAATTCTATCACTGATTGGATGTATTGATGCGATAAAATTCTTCATTAACTACAGATTGCTATTTCGATTTAATTATTTCCGTTTAGTGACCTTCGCAATTCATCATATCGAAATTATTGTCGAAAACTTTTTAAGCGACAGCTTAAAACATAAGTTATACAATTAATTAGGTGGAGTTTTACTGTCACGTACAGAAGCAAAAAACAAAAAATATATATATCAAAATCATATAAAAAGAACATGTTCAATTAAAGTTAAGATAAATCGAAGGACTTTTTTTTTTAATACAAAAAGAACTAAAAAAAAAAAATCTATTAAAATATTTGATTGTTGACAAAAAGTCATTAATTTCCGATATAAATATTGTATCAACGTTCAATTTCCTCAATAATACACATAATTATATGATCTTTGATGATGATCTAAAAAAGATCTTTATTAAGAAGCAAGGGCAACGATGAAAATGACCAATAATTATAATAGAATGACTTTGAGAAAAATTTATAACAATAAAGCTATACTTGGTTGCTTAATCTAAAAAATTTTTAAATACCAAAAGTAAAACAAAGACAAAACGAATCTCCTGAGAAAGATCATATAGAACAAAAGGGAAAATAAAAATTAAGTACAAGTCAAATGATGAAATCAAATAAATATGACGTAATCAAAGTCAATTTTCAACCTCTAAATATCTGTAAATTTAAAGCCACCTGACCCCAAATGAATTTTATTTTCTTTTCATACAGAAAATAAAAAATTCCAATTTCAATCCAATATCAAAAAATTGATAAAAAAATTTTTTTTTTCATTAATTCACCTGAATAAATGTTTTATTTATTAAATAAACAATCAAAATTTATTTACTGAGTTACGGAATAAATCATATATATATATATATATGTATTTTCAATCATGAAAACATTAATCAGCATCAATTGAGCGATCAGATTTCTCATGCATGTAATTCGTGAATATTACGCTGTGAAATTGTTCAATGGAATAAACGGAGATAAATTTCAAGGACATGCTGTTTAAAAAAAAAATCTACTAATTCAGACGGAAAGCGAAAGAAGAAAATAGTTTGTTTTCAATTTTTTAAATTTCTGACTACACTATAAAATTATTTTTATAAAGTAATTTTTACAAAAATCTTTACATTTGTAATTATTATATATTTAAGCAATGTAATTTAATTTTTTTAAAAAAAATATTAGTAAAGTATAAAAATACGATAATCAAAATTTATTTATTTTAATTATTACAAAAATGATGTGTAAAAGAATTAAGTAAATAATTTCAAGAAAATCTTTTAAAAAAATTTTTATAGCAAGCCAGAAATATTTTGAAAAAATGCCGAGTTAAATATAAAATAAATATTCTGAAGGATTTCGTTCATATTCATGTTCTCAAATAACTGCGGTTAAAGTTAAAAAAAAAAAAAAAAAAAATTTTAATTTGTGTCGACATAAGTGAGGTTTGAACATTCAATCCAGGTTAACCAATGACCTTCCTGACAAATTCGCACCGTGTGTATAAGCTCACTTGGTATTCATCTGTGTACCCAAAGAGCTCACTATTATAGAGTTCCTAAAATAACTGGTAGAACCTAGAATTTCTAGATCCTACACTTAGAATGCTTGCCAATTTTTGAATCTAAATCTAGTATTTTTCTCTGACCGTTGTACCCTCACTCTATTTTTTTTTTTTTTTTTTTTGTCTTTTGCTAGCCAAACACCTGTTCTTCAATTTTCAAAAAATTAAAATAACACGATGGAAAATTTCAACACATGTTGGAACATGATTCAAGGCATATACATTACGACACATGTGTAACAAGATCTATTATTATAAACAAGATTTTAAAAAAAGAACAATTAATTTCTATTAATATTTGGTTATTTTGTGAAGGAGTAAATTTTTCGTTGTATTTCGGGCTCGATTATATAATTGTGTAAAACTTGATCGCGAAATTTCATTTTTTTCCTCATTCTCGCTAATTTAAATTTAAGTATTTAAAACTTGATATACATGTATATATATATAGGAATATATATAAATGTTTACGCAGCTTGAAATTCTTTTAATATTTTCATAAAAATTTGAGAATTATATTTTATTATCTTCTATAGTTTTTTTTTTTTCATTCATTGAGAATTATAATTTCTTAAATATAGTGAATGAACATTTAAATAGCTTTTATGAATCACGATACGATGATATTAAAAACGTTCAATATTTTTTTAAAATCATTATTCAAACGTATATTTATATTGCACTTTTACACATTGTAACTAAAAGTATATATATATATAGCTTTTATAAAGATAACTTTGACTCTTTGAAACATTACACACATATAGAATTTTATTTACAGGACTCTAATAAAGTCTTTTGAAATTTAACACAAATTATCATATTCTGTATCTATGGTATTTGTTTAAAAAAAAAATTATTATTTACAATAATAAATAATCAATAAAATATCTTATAAATTAAATTATTCACAAAAAAATGTCTTATTTTTTCAAATATTTTTCATCTAAAATACAAATTCGAAATATTTAAATTCAATTAAATGCAAAAAAAAAAATAAATAAAAAAATAATTATATTTTAGAATCGTATCATATTTCATTTTTTCTTTTTAATCAAAAGTTTGATCGCTTTAAGCATATTATATAATTCAAATAATACTTTCTCATATAATGAGAATGTAAATAATTTAACACCACGTGGGAACAAGGATGTCAAAATATGACAGTAGAAAAACAAAGAAGATTTAAATTTAACTAAAATGATCTCTCCTGATAAATTTTTTACTACTGTCAAATAAAATGAAAATATGAATTTTATTAATATATCTTATTAACCACTGAAAAATGGAAATATTAAGAAAACTCAAGTGTCAATTACTTCTTTAAATAATTAAAAGAAAAATTAATAAAAATTTAATTTATTAAAAAAAAAATATTTGTAATTTTTTTTTACAAAAAATATATAAGAATTTTATGATAAATTATTATTACTATTGAGAAATTTATTACTCTTAGAGAGCCTTTATTAAAAAATTATATTAGAATTAATTTAAAATTAGTAAAAAGAAATACAATTTCTTTTGTAAATAAATAATTTTGAAAATTTTAAATTTTTTGTAATAAAAAATTGCAAATATTTCGAATTTCTCAATTTTACTTACAAATGTAAAAATTCTTATTATTTCCATTTTCATAAGACAATGATTATTTTAAAATAAATTTCATATTTTCTTTCCTAAGGAGACATTAGACAAAAAATTCCAAAACCTAGAGAACTTAAAAACAAATGCTAAAAAAATAAAATTATACCGGTAAATATTTACTATAAAAGTAAAATAAATAAAGTGAAAGAATAAAGATTGCTTTAAAAAAAAAAAAAAATTAAAGAACCCTGGAAATTATTGCTGAATGACTGTGCCATTCATTGTATTGACTTTAACAATACGATTGATTCTGCATCTAAGAAAAAAAAAAAAATTTTTGTTTCGAACATCTCTTTCGGAAAAAACGCCTATTTGGATCGTGTTAAACGAACAATTTTTTTTTTTTTTTTTTGTTTTAAATATAATCATGAGGTAGGGAGGAAAATATCCTATAGAAAATACGTAATCTAAGGAGAATTATTTCTCTAAACTATCACACAGCACACGGGAGTTCCTTCTGACTCGCACATTTTTTTTTTTTTTTTTTCTTTCTTTTTTTGCTACAAGAACGCATGCCCATTCGTATCGGTCGTCTCGCATTCGAAAAACCGAAGATACATCATATCTGAAATGCGCAGCAACAAACGACAAACCTTACTGCACCTGACAATCCGTTGCATTTCGAACAACATCGAATGCCACATTCACGATTTCACTGATATGCTTCTTCCCTGCACTGCACTTGGCATCACTCGCAGAACAAATCAGAGCGATCGCCACGCACACTTTTTAATGTTTTTCAATCTGGTGCGGTTTTTTTTTTTTTTAAATTATTATTAATATTATTATTAAATAGCCAGTTTTTTTTTAAATATATTATAATAATAATTATATTATATTTTTTTTTGCAATCTTGAAAAAGAACACTTCCCTACAGGTCTCTTTTTTTTGGTTTCAAGGCCTGTGAGGGGTTGACTCTCTCGTCGACGTTCAGGACTGCGATGATGGACATTTAGATTCTCGATTACTAAATTGCACTATGACAAATAAATTCACGACAACAGCACCATCCATATAAACTTATATACTGAACTACGCGCCTCGTCGCAAGGTATAACACACACTCTCTGAAAACGACGACGCTCCCTAGACTCGCAATGGCAAACGAATTTCGAGGTTTCGTTGCCTCCCCGTGTCCTTGGAGTAAGTCGCGTGCTTCGTGTTAAATGTTGAATAGTTACGGCGACTAGCTAGCGTTTAACGAACTTTATACATCGGCGAACAAAGCAAGAAAAAAAAAAAAAAAGAAGAAGAAAAAATGGTCCAGTGCTTGTTGATGATCTTCCTTTGCACCATGAACCATCACCCTATGGAAGTATCGGTCACCCTCCGTCCCTCCTGGAAGACCCAAATCAAATTCGAAATTAATGATGAATATTCAGGGAATTAAATAATGTTCAAGGAAATTGATTTAATTTTTTTTTTTTTAATATTGGTGTCACAGAGGGAACGGAGATCCTATGATCCTGGCATTAAATTACGATAACAATCATCGAGGAGAGTTGATTCTTCCTGGTAAAAATAAGCCTTCAATTGTTTACTCGTTGCTAGGTAACGAGATCTGGACGTCGACGCTCGTCGTCTCCCTGTGGACATTCTTCGATAGTCCGGGTTGCGTCGCGATTTTTCCGTTTTACAGAATCCATAATAATAATAATAATCATCGACATACGAGTCAATTGTTCAAAATTCAGCAAACTCCTTGGCGCATTTTTCAGTTGAAGAAATTCTCAATGCTTCCTCTTCGTAATCATCAAAATTACTAGTATCACCGGGTCCCTTGCATCGCGGTATAAATGGTGCCTCGATCCTTTTTTGGAAGACAGCTATCCAATCGGTACTTGTAAACCATCTATGACCTTTTATATCGTTAACACCGGCCTTGAGATTACCGTACCTTTTGGTAAGATCTACCTGCAATAAATTGCGCAATAGATCCTTAAGATCCGTACCAAAATGTGAGGGAAAACGAACTTTGCCACTGACAATTTTCTCATAGATCTGAATCGGTTGATCAGCAAAGAAAGGTGGATAGCCAGCGGCCATTTCATATACTAGAACACCTAACGCCCACCAATCAACAGCCTTGTTATAACCCTTGCTGAGAATAATTTCAGGTGCAAGATATTCAGGTGTACCGCATAGGGTCCACGTCCTGCCTTTCACTCTCTTGGCGAAACCAAAGTCCGTGACCTTGAGGTAACCTTGGGAGTCTATAAGAAGATTCTCAGGCTTAAGATCTCTGTAGATAAGATCAAGATAATGAAGATATTCAAAGGCTAATACAATTTGCGCTGCATAAAATCGTGAATGTGGTTCAGAAAAACGACCGACCTTTCTTAAATGGCTGAACATTTCGCCTCCTGGTACATATTCGAGTACCATATACAAATTCGAGTTGTCCTTAAAATGAAATCGTAACGAAACAAGAAATGGAAAGCTAATTGCTTGAAGAATTCTCTTCTCATTAAGTGTATGTTCAACTTGCTTTAATTTAACCACCTTCTGTTTATCGAGTATTTTCATTGCATAATACTCCTTGGTGGGTTTATGCTGAACTATCATGACTCTACCAAATGAACCGGTACCCAGGGTTTTAATTCTTTCAAAATCATCCAATGCCGCAGTATTGGTAGGATTTTTTTTCCATTTTTCTTCAAATTCCTCTTTGGCCTGATCCAGGAACTCCTTGACGCTCTCTGCCGCGTCCACCTTCTTATTTGCAGTCGCGGCATTATTGCCCATTTTACCAGCCGCGCTCCAGCCTGCCAGGGCTCCACGCACGTCGAGTTTCTTCAGTGTTTCGCTTTTTTTTTCCCCCGCACTACAAAAGTGACCCGTCACTAATTAATGACAACGAACAGTAAAGTCAGTAATTTTTTTTCTTCGACAAAAAAACTAATCCTTTAAAATTGCTTCTGTCTGTGCCCTTGAGTATTTTTCAAGATAACCTTTCCGTGTCTTAAGGTATAAATAGGTCAATACAATACCTTGTCTGCAACCCGCGCCATATTTTAGCACACAACTTTACAGCCCTTTACAAACGCGAACTACCGTTTTCGAAGGAAATTTTTTTTTTTAAATCACCGCACTACACTGGGAGTGACTCACTCTTTTTTTGCTTTTCAGTTACTCGAATCGTTCCTGAGCGGTGTCAGGTACATATGTAGCCGTTCGTTGTATATATATATGTATATATATATATATGGCTTAAAATACGAGCTGACAAACCAATGCACTGAGCATCGACACTTTTGCACTATAATCCACTGGATTAGACACAAGTCACTTTGTTTCCTTTAAACGCCCGATAACAACACTTTTAGCTGTCACTTTATTATCTCGCTGAGCGTTGAACTCAATCCGTCTAGTACAGCAGACGAGACAAATACCTCTCTCTCTAAGATGGCGGCACAACCTGGCCTGCTCCTCCCGGAATTTATACAAATGCGACAAATGGTAGAGGAGACGGACAGTGCTCTCTCCAGGAAGAGAAGGAGACTCGCTGCCGCGCACCATACAACGAGTAGAACGAGCCGAATGATGCCGAGCAGCGCAGACGTCAACAAATATATACAGCTATCAAATTGAAAACACAATTAACCATCCTATATTATCTATAACAACAATATTTACAAACAAAAATTAAAATCAATGTTTAAAAATTGAAAATAAATTAATTTCAATTTTTTAACTCACAAAATAATAATCATCAAGCTGAATTTTGTATTTTACCGCATAATTACTAGCTGGAAAGTGCTGCTATCTGTAATCCATGATAAAACACTAACAAATACGTCGAGAAACCAGTTGGTACATGTACGCCTTGTTTCTATTCTGCTTTGTGCTGCCACTTAGAGAATTTTTCAACAACGATAATAAAAACTGGAAGATCAGGAAGACTGCTACTATTCAGCTATGATGAATTCAAGAATATTATCCATTGCTTTTACTGTCTGACCTCTTTTAACGCCATTAAATATCCTCCAAATATCATTTTTAAGCGACCTGTTAAATTAAGGAAGAATTAATATAAAACGAACCTATTCCACATAACTATCAAAACATTAATTAATCCTCAAATTAAAATTTTTATTACTCCTTCGAAAATTTTTAATCCAATTTTTATTAATTCACTTTAAAAATTTTAATTTATTTAAAATTAACATTTTAATATTATCTTTTTTTCTATTCTTTAATTCTAAAATAACCCATTGGGTAAAATTTAAATGTTTCTTAAAAGAAATTTTTTTCTATTTTTGATTTGTTCATCTCAAGAAAAGAAAATAGAATTTTCAAAAATATTTAAAACACAATATTCTCAAAAACATATAATATAAAATATATTTTAAAAATACAATATACGGAATTAATTATCAGAAGAGAAAAGTTCAAATTCTCATCATTTTAAGATTGAATAAATAAGTTCCTTCAAAATTATATAAAAATATTCCAGAAAGAAATTTCAAATATGTCTATTTAATTTTGAAAAAAAAGATGACAAAATAATTTTCATGTCTTAAAATAAACATGAGGTAGACCGCAAAATGCAATTTTCTCAATTTTCAACTATCAAATCTCTGATTAAATATAACATTCTTTAGAGATTAAAAGTAAATTTTAACATGTACATTAAAAATTTATATATTATTTTTTTTCCTATATCAAACATATAAAATACACGTGTAAATTTATAATTCCAAGTGTATATTTTATTATTCAAGAATATTTAGAACAGCTAACTATATAGATAAATTTTCTATTTATAATTTTAAATTAAACTTTAGAAATTCAACAAAGCAAAGCATATGATTACAAGCTTTTCTTATTTGAAAATTCGAAGTAAATGCCAAGAAGACAAAAAAAAAAAAAAATTCCACATTTTGTAAAATTGGAATTTGATTAAAATTTTTCAAAAATCTAAAGCTTCATCCCTAGAATGTAATAAAAAAAATATACATAAATATGTACTTGAAGATAACGTGTCGCGTGCTTTGATAATCAAAAATAACCGGCCGGAAACCTGCACATGTGCTAGACATGCGCTCTTTGTCACGTATAACGAAGATGGCGTGAAAATTCAGGTTGAATATAGCACCTGGATACGTCGACCGTTCTTCCTATCGATTCAAAGACCGGAGTCTGAATCTCTATGAAGCACTATAAAACCAATTTCTTAAAAGGCCACGTAACTCTGATTGTAAAATAAATTTTTCCCTCAAATACAAATATAGAAAAATAAAAATGATATAATAGACTCTCGACCATTAATTTTTTTTTTTGAAAAAAAAATGAAGCAATCTCTTCCTATCTCATACACAACAGAATGAAAAAAGGGGCGATATGCAAATTATGAAATATTCTTCAACTTTTGACTTTCCATTATTTATAGGCTTTCATATAGATATATATTTTAAAAACATTGATTCCATAAAATCATGAAATAGTCACTCACTTTTTACGTTAACAAAATAATATTTGTACTGTTTATTATTTATTTCTATATAAATAATAAACTTTTACATATAGTATTTTATAATCAATTAATGAATAAGTAATTAATTTTAACATGTTTATTTAAATTCAGTAACAAATAATTATTTGCAAAATAAAATTCTTGGACATTGAATTTTTTAAATTTATAATTTTTAAAAACTAATTTTGATTTACTAAAATTTTAATTTATAAATGTAAATATTCTATTTTTTACCGAATCATTTTTCTCATTTTTTTTTTATTTGCCAAAGTTTCTGAAAATAATCTCCTTTCATATATCGTATAATCATTTCTTCTTTTAAATATTTCAATTGTAATTTTTATTATAAATATGGTATATAAATGGTAAAAAGTAAATTAAAAAAATTATGATATTCAATTATTTTTTGTATCCGGAAAAAATTTTTCCAATAATTTTCAAATACACTTATTCTAACTTTGAAAATTTTGCACACACGTAGATAAATATTTTGTCGGAATTTATACATATAGGAAAATTACAAATATAATTTTTGTCAGTGCGTGACTATTTCACAGTCGACTGATATGTCGACAGCTATTTCTAAACTGAACTACTTGAATGAATTTAGTGCAATGCATATACGAGTACAAGATGAGCACTACTGTAGAGGTTTGCACAGAGAAATCTTTTTGCGGTCATCACATTCGCCAGTCGACCTTCTTCTGGAAAGTTAATACAAACTATTTCTGTACGCACATCTCAACCAACCTGACCTGGAGTTTGTTCTTTTTTCGTTTGAATTTTCAACGCTATACTATACAAAAACTTTTATGTGATAAATAAAATGGAAAATCCAACGACAAATTGATTTTCACATAACAAAAATGCTAATGACTTTCAATTCCCTATGACAATATTGTTCATTAAATAATTTAAATTTAAAAATTTGATTTTTTTTTTTTTTTTGAATTGCTTTTTGAACGAAGAAATTGAATTTGTTGACAAAAAAGTAATTTTGATTTTTTGCAACAAAATATTTATTTCTGGAGTACTTTCATTGAGAGTTGACTAAGTCTAGACACGTTGTTTAACCGGTTTAACACGTGATGAAATGAAAGTTTATCTGACTGAGACACTTTCATATTCTGCCTATTGTACCAGCGAAAGATATAAATCTTTGACGACAGCTTCGTGGGTTTCAAGAAAAAAGATGAATTTCTAACTTCCTCTATGTACAACTCAATTCCTGGGAATTTTGAAACATCATAGAAAATTGTGTCTACAAAACAGAATAAGAAACAGAATTAGAAAAGAAAAAACTGCCAATAAAAAAATAAAAACTAACAAAATTCCAAAATAAACAATGTCAATGAAAATTAATTTTCGTATTATTCTCACGGAAAAATAAAAATTCTAACCGACAATCTAAAAAAGTTGCAACGTTTCATTCTCACAGCAAATGAAAAATCGAAATCATTTTTTTTTTAACGTATTCAAACTAAGCTGAGGTTGTAGATTCTTATGTTTCACAGTTCAGAAGAGATAAGAGAAAGGGCCGAAGAACTCCTCGTCAGCGAACCGTCGAGCACTTCCTTTCCAATGTCGCACATTGTAACTGAAAACAACCTGTCTTTTCTTTATTCATATATATATATAATTCTTTTCATAATTAACACTTTATACAATTTTATATTGAATAATAAAACTATTATCTTTTTTGTCATTCACATAATTACAATTTAAATAAAAAAAAAGGTATTCTTAAATTTTTTTTTTTTAAATTAAAAAAATAATTAAAATTTCTTTTCTTAATTTTAGATAAATTAGCAAGAATTTTTATCACAATTTTCAAATAGAAGGAAAGAATATACTAAAAATAAAACATTGTCACTTGTCAATAAATTACATCTAAAAATCGATGTTTCATTTCGAAATAGTGAAAAGACATTTTGTTTTAACAGCTGAAAAAACATTTCATTTCCTTGACTTAATTATGCGACGAAATCGCAACCAATAATCACGACAATAATTTTCAGATAGGGGTGTATAGTATATACGCGAGGAAAATAATATTTAAAAAAAAAAAGAAAAAAAAATTGAGTCAGGACATCTGCCTTTAAGGTCCTGGCTATATGACCGCTCTTCCACCTGCACTGTATTTAGCAGCTGTTTCGGAAAACGAATTATCTCAAACACGTGCGATGGGCCTGCGATACTTTTACACGAAAGACATTTTCGATTCTTTTAGTTGAAACACGCCGCCATGGCGCTTCTTATATTACAAAATTTATCAGAAATAAAATCCAGTATAGAAAAAAAAAAGACAAGAAGAATCAGTAATAAATGAAAGATTAAAATATTTCAAAACATATATCATTTTAAAAATAAAAAAATAATCTAAAATAAAAAAAACGAGACTAAAAATAAGATGATAATTTTTAATCAAATAAATATTAACTGTCTCTGCTTCTGTATCATCAAACAAAAATTTTTTACATTTCCAAAAATCCGTGAGTAAACTACCATTACAATCGAAAATATTTCAAATAAAAAAAAAATCAAATTCCTATTTTAGAAGAGAACTAATCAATTTATTTAATTCTCGGAAATATTTAAAATCAAAAAAAGAATATATATATATATGCAATCGAAGTGTGAAATATTGTAATTTCCATAAATATAAAAGATATACGTCAATATGTATACACACAAAACTATTTTTAACATTGAAGGTTGTTAAGCTCCTGTATTCCAGTGCAATATCTTATCAAACCATTTATATATGAGATTGTTTAATCTTTACGACTTTGAAAAAAAAAATTTCTATCTCGTTTGTATATACTTGAAATAATTATAAATTCTTGTATACATTTTTTTTTTTTTTTTTTTTTCGACTTCAGAAGTTCAAGTGTAACGCGCGCATGAAAGGCAAATATTACCACCGTTAACCGTGTCTTTGGCAAAGCACGGTTGTCGCTTATTCAGTATATATACTCATCATAAAAATAATACTTTACATCATTGTAATATAGTCGAAGTTTTACGAAAACAAACGAAACTTTCCGGAGTTACATTGAAAGATTATTCACTCGAATATTTGTTTTATCATATATATATGTATATAGAAAAACTCCTAGGCAAAATATAAAATGCAAAAATATGCATAAGAACAAAACAAAGACAAATTTGTTTCTCTAATTTGAAAACTCATGCGTATTACTAATGCAATTCAACGATTAAATAAATTCTTTCAGTTTGATTAGATATTGAATTGCGAACAGTGAAGTGTCCCACTTTCATATTAATAAGTTTTAAAATTATCACTGCTAATTTTCTTTAGTCTTGATGCATTTTAAGATAATATCAGATATTTTTTACAAAAACTATTCCCGTTATTTTTTTTTACATGATTTATTAATTTTTATTAATATGAAATTCTTTTTTCATTCCGATAGTTAATTAATTTAATTATCACGTTTAAAATGAAAAACAAAAATTCAACTTAAAAAATTTGTTACTAAATTCAATTAACTTTCGTCTCATTTATCAGAAATTAAAAAATTGTTACTAAATTTAATTAAACTTCCATTTCATTCAGAAATACAAGTTATCAGATTTAATTATCATTTCGAATTTTTCGATCAAAAATTTATAAATAAATAATTATAAAAAATTCTATTTAAGTTGGACAAAAATATTTAAGACTAGATTTCATTCATTTTGTTTAGAAATAAAAAAAAAAGTTACTAAATTTAATTTCAATTTGAAATTGAAAAATACGTTACTAGATTTCAAATTTTAATTGACGAACATTATTTCGCGTGCAAGCAGTAAAATAAAACAAAAAAGTTTTATTCTGAATAGAAAAAAAAAAAAAAACATTTTAGTTTCCTACTTTTTTCATTTATAAATAATTTAATCATTCAAGTTTAAATTTTTTTATTCAAATCTTAACTTGTCTGAACTTGTCATTGGGATTATTTTTTTTTTCTTGTTTAAATATAGTACAGTATCGATCTATCAGCGCAAGGCGGTCGCATGCGCACCTCTTTTTTGCCAATATTCTTGAAAGGCTTTCAAACATTCAAGAGACAAAATTTATAGTAAATTGTCATTTTAATTCAATATTTTTTTTTCCAAATTTTAAGCATACAAAATTTATAAAATATTAATCATATAATTAATCAATACTAATGTTTCTCTCGCGTTAAAAACGAATTATTGAGAAAAATTCTGATTAAATAAACTTAAATGCATCGTTTTTAATAATTATCAACAATCAATTCGGTCAGAGTTCATCATATATAAATAATAATAAAAATAACTTGTATTTTTTTAAAAAATACCAAAATTAGACAAAAATTGTCTACCATTGGTAAATTTGCAAATTAATAAATTCTAAAAAAATGTATCTTTCTATATATAATAAAAATAATAATAATAATAATAAAAAAATGAAATTACCTTCATACAAAACTGGTATACAAAAGTGCATCCTGTAACATGAAAACATGGAAGTTGATTATGACCACCCGGTAGTGGCCTCATTCTACCTTTTAATACACACCGGAAATGAGGCTGCGAAGAAACTTCTAGAACTTTTCATGAGCCGGCTTTTCTCCCTACTATTATATAGATATGCCGTGAATCCAAATTATCCTCGAATACAAGATCCTGTAAACAAAAGAAAACATTTAAAACAATAAAAATCGTCCTTTCTTAAATTGTTATTCAAAACCAAAAATCAATTAAAACATATTATACAAAATCTCGATTATTATATACAATACAATAATATAAACGAAAGAAAATTTTGAGGTTACCTTTTATTACCTAATGATTTCTCCAAATCAAGAAAATGTTGCGTATAAATAAATTGATAAATGTCAATCTTTTAAATTGAAGATATTTTAATTCTCATGACAACAATGGAAAAGTATTCAATTAATTAATAATCACTTTTTTACAATAAAAGACGTTGAGATAAAAACGTGCAAAAACTTGTCCCCTGAATAAATGAACGTTCCATTTTTGTAGAGGCCAATACGACCAATCAAAGTTGAGGAAAATCAATGGGCCTTTTCCCGCGAAACGAATAAAATTTCAAATTCATAAAATAATAATTGATTTACTTACATATTTTCTATTTATCCGAGAAATGATAATTGTCATAAAAGTCGTATTATTAGAATTGTAGGTTATGTGGGTGGTTTATTAACACGAATTTTACTGCGTTTCGCGTAAATTAATGGAAAGTTTCGTGAAGGTCTTTACAGCCATTTTAGATTGATCCGATGGCAGAGCCACCTAGGAAATAGCGGGAAAGAGGAAGGTTTGAAGGCCGCCGGCCGGGCCGGGGGATTCGGGCGAATCAACGAGCCAACCGAGGAGTTCTGCCATTTGCGCGTCGGTACGCAACAGTAGTGTTACAAGAGATCTCTCGTGTGCTCATACACAGTGTGAAAAAAAATTTTTCAGTGTATTTATCTACAAGTGCTTCCGTTTTAATTAACAACAAATCAATCACAATGGCTGATGTTGAAGCAAAGTGAGTAATTAAGTGTTCTGTGATGGATATTAACCTTTTTATCAAAAAAACTTTGTTGGCTGCTTGCCTCGAGTCCCCATGCTAGTCACGCGCGGTTCGCGTCTCTTTATTTTCCGTGTTTTTCCATTGTTTTTCAGCATTCGTTAATATTAACTTCTCATAGACAAAATTCTAATTTATTTTTATCTCAAATTCGTTAATAATTGTTGCTTGATTAAAGGATTCTGAAAAAAAGTGGTGGGGGAACCACGCCGTGCGCATTCTGATTTTCTGTATTTTTATCCTTTTCTCATTAATTTCGCGATAAAACGTTACTGTTTATTGATTTCACCGTCTTTGGATAATTAGATTTTGATATTTTTTTTATTGAGATTATCTAATTCGGTATATTGGGGACTTTTCCCGGTTTTTTATAAGACTAGTTATGCGTGGGAGAGAGAAAGATATATGGCATAGGGGGGACGTAGGGGGAGAATTTAAGTAGAGAAAAGGTACGCCGATCGCGTGCGCGGCATTTCACTTTTTCTTTCAAGTTTTATTATCTTTAATTATCATATTTTATAAACAAATAGAAGAATATTATTAATTATTCACGTATATACAATTTGATAACTTGTCTTTATTAGAAACAAAAAGCAATTAAGGGAGTTTTATGTATTTTCAAATTAATTATTTAAATAAATGATAATGGCACGTGAATATTATTCGTTGATTTCTTTCGATTTTGAGATAGACTGTACACGTTGAATTGAAAGAGCTGTCGGCGTATCGATCCTATTCTCTTACCGATTCGCTGAACTGATGACAATAAAGAAAAATGTCCTACATATTATTTTCATCTTGACGCTGACTAAAATATGAATTTGCGCATTCGATAGGTATTTATTAAAAGATAAAATAAGGCGCAAACAGGTCTATTCACGTCTTTCTACAATTTTACCGCGCCAAAGCAAAAGTGGCTTTCAGGGTAAAGGTGGGGTAAGGGGAAATATATCAGTTCTTGGGAAAGCCACATGAAGCGCTACTGATGGCGTCTATCTCTATTTCTTTCTACTATATGTGTGTCCTCCTTCCGCTTCAGTGAACTCAATTCTCCCATCCATGATATTCACAAACACAACGAAATTAAATTTGTTGTCGTGAGAGGTTATAGCAATATACACACACACACACACTCTCTCTCATAACTTTACTTCAGGGGTAGAGAAGGGGGGATCCGAGATGTAAAGGTGTAAAATCTCATTACAATAACACACGTACATGAATTAAAACTTCTTTTTAAATGAATAATTGATAGAAAACTTGTTAAATAATGTTTTATATTTAAATAATTGATTTTTTTACCACTTGTCTTTTATTGATTAGAGCTTGAATTAAAAGTAATTATGGATAATGTTTTCTATACGTGATTAAATTTTATTTTTTTTTTTTTAAATTTAGAAATAATGTATTTTAATCAAATGAACAGTGGGTCCAAATAGCAAATTTAAAAATGTAACCGCGTCCTAATCTCATTATTCTCAATGCGAATATTGAGGTTACGAGACTATTTTGAAAACGTCAAACAAGCCGCGTGCTTACACTGTGACGTACTCTTGCATAAGCCAATGTACGTTAGGGATTCTGAAAATATTTAATGTCATCTCTAATCGATTTTATGTTTTTCTAAAGGCTTATACAATTTATTAAAGTGTACAATCAATAATTAAGTTTATTTCAGGAAGCCATATTCAAACTACTTTATTTCTTTTCAATCTTTAAAAAAAAAGTATATTAAAATTCATAAAATCCTCTTGAATTCAGTAATGAATTTAATTGTACTTAAAATATTTTGTCAAGTATTTTAAATGTTATTTATTTTTAAAAAGTTTTTAAATTTTTCTGTTAGGAAATAGAAATTTTGTAAGATGCTGATTCCAGTTAAGATAAATATTTTGAAAAGATGTTATTTTCAAGTCGTAATTGCTATTTTTCTAAATTTTGAAGTTTTATTTTTAAATATATTTTATTCATGTTCCCCAGGAAGTGTAATTTATTATTTAAATATTTTTGAGAAGTCTAACAATCTATTTTTTTTTTTACAGAGAAACCAAAGTTGTCAGCACACCTGAGAAGGAGAAGAAGGTGGTAGAAGAAGAGAAACCAGTGACAAAGGTTGTTGAGGAGACTGATGAAGACTCCAAAACTTCCGAGAATGGAGATGCCACAGAGACCAAAGAAAATGGCTCGACTGAAGAAAAAGAAGTCGATGAGAAAGAGGAGGAGACGCCAAAGAATGGTGACTCCACAGGTAAATTGAAAATTAACAAAAATTTTCCATAATTTGTTTTGAATTTAAGATGAAAGAAAAATTAAGTTTTCAATATCAATTAACGAATTAATAATGAGGGGAAATTATTTTTTTTTCTAATTTTACAGATGCTCCAGTCGACACCTGTTGTATAAAGAGGAAATCAGTTGGCGCTGATTTGACTGATGATGCATCAGCGGACGGTGCCAGTCCCGAAAAGAAAGCAAAATTAGATGAGAAACCAGCTGAAGCCGAGAGCAACGGTGCAGCCGAAGCCACGGCCTAATGTTTCTGTAGTCCCTCTTTATTATCCATAGACCTGATCTATAGACACAGTTTTTCACCATCTAAACGTGATGTCAGAATGCAAAACATAATCATCAGTGCATCGCCATAATAGAACGAGTGTCGATCGCAAAACTCTGATATTGTTTACGATTACGTATTTGTGTTGAGAGTGGCCGTGTGTATGTTAAGTACCAAGATCTTTCGCATCATAAGCGTTCAAAAAAAAAAAAGGCCAATGCTATACAAACACGTGATAGCATTGCACACATACATATGATAAAAAAAAATTTATTACCCTCGTTACACAAATTTAAGACAAAAAAAAAAACGTATTCAAAGCATGAAATAGCGCTTAAGCGCGTATAATGCATATTTAAAAACTTTTTTTTATATATTATATATAAAACAGAGCGATCGCAGAGTTTCATTCTCAAAAAAAAGCACGAGTTGATTGTTGAAAAAAATGTGTTATTTTCTCCTTTTTTTTATCAACACTCGAGTCGTTGACTTTTTTTCTTTTTTGAGACATCCAATATCGGATGATCGCATTGTGTAAAACGCAATTTGAACTAATCTCTTCATAAGTTGTAATACATTCCTATATATAAAAAAAATTTGGTAAAAAAAAAATATGTTAAAGAGATCAGTTTTCGACGAATGTGAATTACGCTGTTTTTTGTACAATGCTGATCCCGAAATATAACGTTACTTAAAGTCTGATTTTATTGCGAAAGTATTAAAATGGTGAAAAAAAAAATAATACAATTCACTGCGTTTTACTGGCAGACATAGGTGCACAAATTTTTTTTTTTCCTCGACGCAGTTCAAAAGATTCTTTAAAACTGCGGTGCATTCGTAAAACTTATCTAGAGCAGGTCAACATCGTTGAACCAGTTTTCATTATCGACGATATTCGTAGACAGTATTTTCTTTTTCTTTTTTTGTTTTACAATTTTAACCCTTGACTGGTTTTGTGTACAATTTAATACATAAATAAATTAATAATAAAATAAAAACTAGTTGTGACTTGACTTCAAAAGAAAATTTAATTTGACTTTATTCAAATTACTAGAAAACATTGTTAAATTTAACAATACTTTGTAGTAAAAAAAAAAAAATTGACATTAATAAAGAGAATTTGTATTTAGTTTAATTAGAAATATACACTGCCAGTTAAGGATTAACGTTGACGTTAGTCATAGTCAAAGTACTTATGATAAAAGCAATCCACGTTTCAATTATTTGATTTTATCAAAGGAAAAATTTTTTTTTTTATTTTTTATGAACAAGGCGATTGCATTTATGTGAAACTTAAAAAAATCGTTTTTAGATTTATGAGTGGCAAGCGAACGATGCGAAGATCAATAATAGCAAAAATTCATCTGTGTAAAGTAAAGATGTTAGTTCAACGTATTAAAGTTGTTAGGTAAAAAAAAAAAATAAAAAAAAAAAACATTTTTACTAGTTCAATCTACGTAGATCAGTTTCTTGTAGTTAATCGAATCTCACTGAAAACAACTGCCACTTGACATTAATTAATGTCGAATCAAACTGGCATTCGCTGACCTGCTATAAGCACTTGTCGTACAAAATTTAACGGGGTCTGTAATATTCAAAACAAAAAAAAAATCTACCTAAATATTAAAACTAATGTTTAGATGAAAATAAATGTTAATTACCGACTAACAACAAAAATACTTGTACAGGATAATATATATTGTGTAATTCATTGTGTTCGCTATTCCGGGTAAAATAAAACTGGTTGTTTCAAATGGCAATAATTATCTTTAATTTAAATATTATTAGACTCAGTTCCTCAATCTATATATTATTATTGAAAAATAAAAAAAAATAAGGCGACAACACCTATTTTCACGTTTGAAACACTGATTTTTGAATAAAAAAAATATATATTGAAAATGATTGTAATAGCAATAAATTCGGTTAATAGAAAAAGCAAAATCTAATTTTATTGCGTTTTACACAATTATTGTGAATAAAACCCTTGATCGCCCGAGATATATATACATTTTTAGTAATTTTTTAAATTTATAATTGTAAAATTGAGAAGAATTAAGAGAAAAAGTAAAGAACTAACCTCACTTTTTATATTTTGCTTCCACTTGGTAATATTTATGAGAATCTTTCTTTATTATACACAGAAATAATTTAAAACACCAAAATTAATTGAAAATAAAACAACTTTATAATTCGACACTATTCAAGTTCACTTAAAAATGTTTCCCGCGATTTCACTGCCTAACATTGCACTTTATTTAACGAAAAATCACTTTCTTATCATTATCGGTTTTACTAATTTAAAAAATACAAATTTCTTTACAATTCAAATACATAAACGCAATTTAATATTTTCGATATGGATTTAAATAAAATAACTTTCAACGGGTTATATTTCACTCTTTTACATGAAGTTAAACTGACGAATTTCAACTAGTTTCGCTCGTTTCTCAAAACAAGATGGCGGCGGTACAGTTAGTCAAAATAGCAGTTAAAGTTTTTATAATATGCAACTGTGTTAGAATTTACTTTATAAAAATAATTAGAATTAAATATATTTAATTAATTAAAGTATTTTAATACTTAATGATGATTTAATTTTAGTAGAAATAATAATTAAATATTTCTTTTGATCTATGTATTCGACGGCCATCATGAATACGCGGGAATGGTTTTAAATTCAAATATTACAGTGTAGAGAAAGCGTAAAAAACAAAGAAATTATAAAAAAATTCATATTTAGTTTATTATCCGATTAAAATTAAAAAGAAATTGTTTGATTATTTTTCTTATATAAAAATTTATGAATATATTTCAGAATTTTTTCCCCGAGTCCTTAATACGCACCCTCTAACTCCGATCCTGAATCGTCAGTGACAAGACAACAAAACGCAAAGTCAGCCAAGCTACTGTCTGTACTTCTCTCAGGAATTCAAGAACATTCAGAATTAGTAGATGTTGAAACGAATCTAGATAACTTTATTGAATTGAACGCAATTTTCTAATACTTGTGAATCAATAAGTTTAATTCATTATAACTAAAATGTTGCGTTCTCTTATTTTACTATTTTTCGTCGCAGTTACTGCAAATGGAGATTTACTCAGGTAATTATTTCTAAAATTTTAAAACTTATAGTTTACTAATACAATTAACGGAATTTTATTGTCATTTCTTTTGTATTCTGTTATATTTTACATACTCTATTATATTTTAATAATGTTTTCTACTGTAAATTAGACAAAGTGAACAAACCTAACCAAATCCTATAAATTAATTTAGATAGTTTTTACGTAATTCTCTTTAATAATATAATACAAAAGAAGATAAAAATATAAATTGCTAGCAGGAAAGATTTTTCTCTAATGATATCTATTTTTCAATTATGTAAATATTTTTCGAAACCATTTTTTTAATTTACTTATTATTGTTTATAATAAACAAAGAAGCATATATACACAGACAGAGAAATGTTTTATTTGAACCGAATATAATATATTCGAGTTAAATAAATAAATATATGTCTCAGAAGCTACTAATATTTTTATATATTCTAGTTTGTTCTTGCATTTTCTTTCATCTTTTTGTGGTTTCAAAAAAATATATATATAATATGTAATATAAACTTTCACTCAATATAAATGGATGATTCACTCAATTATCAATGATCCTTGAACTCTTCTTAGCCATCTGTTATTATTTTAATTTATCATAAAAAAAATGAGATAATCTCTATACAAATTTATTTTAGTTTTGTTTTCTTTGTATTTATTTCCATTAGTTTCATTTTATTTAAAAATCAAATTCCAGATATATTCGAAAATTGTTTCTTTATATTCCAAAATGTTGATTAAAAATAATAATTTTGTTTTAAAGGATTCCAGTCTACAAGGCGGAAACTCCTAGACGATTTTTGCAAAATGTTGGGACTGACGTTAGTATAGTTCGAATTCGTTATGGTGGTGGTCTTGCACCAGAACCACTTTCCAATTATTTGGATGCTCAATATTATGGTGAAATTACCATGGGAACACCTCCGCAAAAATTCAGTATTCTTTTTGACACTGGATCATCAAATCTTTGGGTGCCATCCAAGAAATGCTATCTTACAAATATTGCTTGCCGTGAGTATATATATATATATAAATATATACAACAAAGAATAATAAAACGCATTAGTCATTGCATAAAATGAATAAAAATAATATACAATGTTAATGATTGCACATCATATAAATAATAAAATTCACAAAATATTTTTCTTATTGTCTCTGATGCTATTTGCACTCTGTTGTATATTTAATTCTGTATTTTGATATAATAAAAATTGGAGGCAATTTTATTAAATCATTTATAAGTCTAACTTTTAAAAAATTAATGAAATAAAATTTGATTACAGTGCTTCATAATAAATATAACAGTAAAAAATCCAAGAGCTATGTTGCAAATGGAACTGAATTTTCCATTCATTATGGAAGTGGAAGTCTTTCAGGTTTTTTATCTACAGATACTGTTACTGTACGTATTGAATTTTACCCTTGGTATTTTAACAACATTTCGTGTTTATTATTTTATTTGTATTCTTTTAGTTCACATTTTTGTATATCTACATATATTCAAGGGATTTATAATTGAATAATTGTTTTGAAAATTTAAATTAATTCAAAATATTTGTTATTAACAATAAAAATAGGTTGCTGGAGTTGATATCGTAAATCAAACTTTTGCCGAAGCAATGAGTGAGCCTGGATTAGCATTTGTTGCTGCTAAATTTGATGGAGTTTTGGGTATGGGATACTCGAGAATTTCAGTCGATGGTGTAGTTCCAGTTTTCGACAATATGGTCAAACAAGGTTTAGTTCAGGATCCCATTTTCAGTTTTTATCTCAACAGGTAATTTCCAAATAATAATTAACAAATGTTTATTTTGATAAAGAAAATGAATTGAAAAAATTGTTATACTCGATTCATTTCAATAATAATAGATTTTTTTTTACACTACAGTTAAAAAATTATAATTTTTCGAAAATAATAATTTAATAATTCATAAATTAATACTGAATAATTTTTATTATATAAATTATTAAATAGAGATCCTAAAGCTGAAATTGGAGGTGAAATGATATTGGGAGGATCTGATCCTGATCATTATGAAGGAGAATTCACTTATGTCCCAGTCGATCGTCAAGCTTATTGGCAATTCCGAATGGATAAGTATGTATTTTATTTCATATTTTTCGGTAAAATAAAGAAAAGAAAAATTAATTAAAATAATTTCATTTTCTTGAAGAGTAATGATTGGTGAAAATGCTTTTTGTGAAAATGGATGCGAAGCTATTGCCGACACTGGCACTTCTCTCATCGCTGGACCTGTCGATGAAATTAAGAAACTCAATCAAAATATTGGTGCTACACCAATTGTCGGCGGTGAATGGATTGTAAGTATAATTTATCATTATTAAAAAAAAAAACAATGATTAAATCCTAAATTCAAAATATTTATTCTTTAAACTGAGAATTGAAATGTGAAATTTATTTCTCAGGTCACCTGTGATGAGGTTCCTAATTTGCCTGAAATTGAATTCATCTTTGCTGGCAAAAAGTTTGTTTTAAAAGGAGAGGACTACATTCTAAAAGTAATTAATATTTTACTGACTTAAAGTAACTAGTTATAATTTTTTGAAAGTAGCAAAATACCAGACAATATATCTTTTTCAAGATACTGAGGTCTTGAAAGGTCGTCATGTGATTTCAGTATCGTTACATAAACAATAAATGACTTTTGGGTTTAGTAGTGAAAATTTAGCAAATAAGTTATTTAAATTATAATTTAATTACGAGTTAATCAAAAATTAACTGGTTCAAATTTTGCAGGGCTGTATTATTATTTTTAATGTTATATATTATTTTTTCTATTTTATATAGGTCTCTCAATTTGGCAAAACTGTTTGTCTTAGTGGATTTATGGGAATTGATATTCCTCCACCAAATGGACCACTATGGATTTTGGGAGATGTTTTCATTGGTCGTTTCTATACTGAATTCGACATGGGCAACAATCGTATTGGATTTGCAATTGCCAAATAAATCATTACTTATTTTTAAGCAATATATTGTTAACGCGATGAGGCTTAATTACCAATTTCCTAATAATTGTGATTTTTCCTAGCCTATATAAAAATGATTATTAAACAATCATGTGTTTATTCCAATATTGAAAGTGATATTTGTCTATTACACTCGTAAATGAATTTATCGTAGTGTGTGTATGATTTACGAACAAATTTTGCCACTGAACAATAAATATTTTTTATCATTATATTTCAATTTTATTATTAACTATCCACAATTAAATTAAATCAAAAATTTCAATTTTAAAAAAGAAATGAAAAAAAAAATATTTCAAACTTTAAGAAAGTAAATACAATATTAATAATTGCATTTATCGAAATTTATATTTAAAATTTCTTAATACGTTTTTAATTTTGTAACACATTTTTTTTGCACATTCAAATCTTAGTTACGTGTTTTTTTTCTATATAAAAAAAAACATTAATTTGCTCTATTATATTTGTATACAATTTTAACTTTTTTTTTTAATAGTAATTCTACCTTCGTCACTACATCGAAATTATGTTGTTCTTTTTTAAATTATTTTCGATGGCTTACAACGGTTATCGTCTTAAATCTGTGTTCTAAGTTAAAAATATACAAATTAGAGACGAATCTATAGATTTAATGCAATCACTTTAATGAAGTACATATGATTCTATTGAAACGCCATTGTATAGAATTATTTTTTCAGAGTACAATGTAAAAGTTGCTTTACAATTCATTTTACGTACAATAGTTAATACGAATGTGCTTTTAACAGTACATTCAAAAATGTTTAATACACTTTTAAAAGTTTATTTATATTGATTATTAAATAATAGTCTAATTATCTATAGTTAAAATTAACAATAAAGTTAAGTGTATTGGATCTTTTAAGTAGTATACTTAGATAAATAAAAATATTGCGCTTAATTTCAACTAGTTAATTATGTACATACAATACACATTGTTCGATTGCCGTTGTGAAGATTAACTTGTTGGTAATTTTTTGTTTTTCTTTTTTTTTGTATTACTATTATTATTATTATTATTTTCACAAAAAACACTTACCAAATTCCAAACTTTCACGCGCGATCTAATAACCCTCCTATCGAATCCAGGAGATTTATTCTTCTAAAACTTTCTATCTGTGATCAACTCCATAAATTTTTTCTGCAAAATACCATTTTATTGAATTAGTTAATATTAGTTTTTACATTAATTAATTAATTTTTTTTTTTTTTGACAAAGTAATTAAAAAATTAATTGTTATTGACTCATTTTTTAAAGACAATAAAAGAATTTTGATATATAAAAGAAAACTTACATCGTTTTTGTCACCTTAGAAGTCGTTGTTAAAGTTGATCGTTTTTTATTACCACGACATTTTTTCACGTAAGCTTCAATAAGTGCGGCAATCTTTTTTGGATTAATTTCACCAGATCTGTTGTGACATATCTGAAATAGAAAACAAAAATTACAAATATTTATAAATTAATATGATATTGATGTTATTATTATTAATATTTAACAATTTACAAATATTTAAAAAATAAATTTTAAATTAAATTAAAAAAAGAAAAATATATTTACCTTCGGCACAGCTTTTCGCATAATATCCTTGTATTCTTCTTTCGTGACATGCTTTTTAGTATAATGTGGTTTCAATACCAGTTTCACTTCCTCTACAACTCTTTCCTGTCGATTGAGCTTCTTCAAGAACTGTAAAATTATTCCAATATAATTCACGCATTCAACCACTATAGAAAATTATATTTTAATAAAAAAAGAACAAATAAAATAAGGACAATAAAAAAAATTAAAATAAAAACCATACTAATATAAGAAAAAATGTCAGATAAAGAAGAATTAATTTTAAAAAATACAAAATAAAGAAAATATTGGAATAAAGAAACTGAAAAATATATAAAAAATTAAAAAGCAAGTAAATTCTTTTCAACGAACCTTGTCCTTGACTTGCATTTCCACTGCAGAACTTGGTAGATCATCCAAAATTTGCAATTGATTTTCATCCATGCGAACGCCAACTTTGGGATTGGTACCTAAAAAAAATGAATGAAAAGTATAAGTAATAAAAACATATCAATATGTATAATAAAACTATTTAAGCAGCAAAATATAAAAAAAGTAATGATAAAAGTAATAAAAAATAATATTAGTAAGTTTTTGTTTGAGAAAATACCTTTAAAAAAAAAATTATTAAAAAAAAAGTAAATTAATTAAAAATTAAAAAACTGAAAATAAGAAGCGTTCTTACCAAGCGTGACTGGGTACACACTTTTTTTTCTCTTATCCTTCTTGACTTTGACTTTTGGTGCATTTCGTGCATTAACTGGCGACGCTCCAAATAAAATATCAAAGGCATCTTTTTTAGGATCCTTATTTGATTTGGATTTGGATTTTTCTGGTGGAGGAGTATTATAAGGACTAGGGGGATCAAACATTCCGTCGCTGATACTAGAACCAGGTGAATATGGCGATGACATATCAATAACATCATTAACCATTTCCGTATCATTGCCATTTTGTCCCAATGCATTAGTTTTATTTGTTGGCTTTGATGCACGAAGAGCTGTTGTCTTTATTGAATTAGTAAACAAATTTGGTAATTGTGGTCTTTCAAGGGGTCGTTGTTTTATTTGATTACTTGGCGAAATGCGATTTGTCTGAAAATTTACAATATATTTTTTAATTATTTTATGCCTCATATGATTGAATTTCAATTTAAGTTAACCATTTCAATTTTTGTTTTAATTTAAATTTAATTGTTTTAGAAATTATTTATCATATAAATTAAATAATTAAGAACTTTTTTTTCATTTCATTATTCGAAGTGGTTAACTTTGAAAATCTCATTTACATTTAAGAAAAAAAAATCAGATAAAACAATCAATAAAAAGTCATTTATCGTCAGATACGAAAATGTGGATTAACTTTAGATTTGATTGTTTATCCAATTTTTCGTTTAACAATCACACGTACCTGAGCAAGATTCCTTTGTGTCGTTGCAGGAGCATTTGTATTAAATATATTGCTTCGCTGCACAGCAGCAGCAACTGTTGCAAGAACTGGATTAATTGTTGGGAAAGTAGTAACAGTTGATTGAGCATTTTGTAAATTCTGTTGATTTTTCGTTGGACTACTCTCACTTACACTGACATTATCAGTTTGACTATCATTTGCCGGCGATGTATCTCTCTTTGGTGACGATGCTCTCTTAATCGTGACCATTGAAATGATTTTTGGTTTTTCCGCCTGTTTATCAGACACCTGTTTTTCTTGATCTTGATTTTCACTTGATGTCAATGGAGTATCATTGGAATCATGCTTCCTTGGTGAAGTGCGTTGATTACGTTCATCATTGAGAGGTGTTGCCTCTTGACTTTGAACAGGTGTTGGTGATCGTGATTTAGTTGGATCAAATGGATCATAAGCGTCCGGAGATGTCGGTGGTGATGATGGAGGTTCAGGTGGTGTATTGGGACCGATTTTCAATCGTAATTCCAATTCTTCCTGAGCTCTTAATTCTAATTCCTCATCAACTCGCTCGTCAATCTCTTCCTCCTCCTCTTCTTCTTCCTCTTCCTCTTCTTCTTCTTCTTCTTCCATTAGAGGATTCATCATTGATGGCCTCAAGTTATTTGCCTGTTTATTAATGGAGAATTTCACTTGAGGCTCGGGAGGTGTTTTCGGCCCTTGTGATACAAATTGATCACGTGAGGGTGTTGTTTGAGAAGACTGATGTGGTTCCATTGCTATTAGAGCTTGAGCTTGTTTTTCGTCATCGTCACTTAAAACAATTACATCTCGAGGTGATGGTGTTTGTTCTCTGAATGGTGATTGATCTAAATCAATAACGGCAACTGGTTTTTTTGTAGCGGCAATTTCGGCGGCTTTTGATTTTTTCTTTTTGTCTTTCTTTGCCTTGGGGGATTTTGCACGTTTTTCTTTGACTTTATCTTTTTTTGTTTTCTTTGCCGGTTCAATTTGTAATGGTTCACGACGTCGACGTTTTGTTGGTGGCATCAGTGGTATTGTTTCCATTGGTAATTCCTCGGTTTGTATTTGATTACCCTCATTGTCTTTATTGAAACATACACTGACGAGAATATTATCACCGCTGGCAAATACTTCTTTTAATGGTGGTGGGGTTCTCATTCGTTTTCCTTTTTTTCGTTTTTCAACATCCTTGGGCTTTCGACGTTCTTTCTTTTTTTCTTTCTTCTTTTTCTTGATTGCTTCCTTATTGGTGAGAATAACGGTCAAATTCTTTGGTGGTACTGTCACGTTTTCGAGACCATGTGGCGGTGTCCATCCACGTCCTGCTAGATCATTGACACGCTCGGGAGTTTTTGATCTTGAGGCTGACAATGATGGAGTCCATTGGGCACTCCATGATTCACGATCTTCACGTTGTCGGAAATGTTGTTCGCGATTTATCAATTTTTCGCTCATTTCCCAATTACGATTGCGATCCCTCTGCTGGGGTGATAATGATCTTGCGGGTGATCTTGATCTGGTTCTACTTATTGGTTTTCTGTTCATGTGTTTCTTGTCACGGGATTTTGAATTTCTTTTTCCGCTTCTTGTTCTTGATCTCTTGCGTAATCGGGAACGACTTCGTGACTTGTGTTTCTTTTTATCTTTTCTTCTATCACGGGACTTTGATCTTGTGCGGGATCTACGTTTTCGGGATGGTGATCTCTTACGACGATCACGAGGACGAGGTGTTAAGGATCTTCTTCTTCTTGATAGGGATCTTGATTTTCGTTTTCTCGATATGGAACCTCTTCTTGGTGATTTGCGTCTTCTTGGTGATAGAGATCTTCCTCTTGAATAGGATCTTCCTCGGGAAATTCTTCCAAGATCTCGATCTCTTGTCCATGATCGACGTTTGGATCGTGATCTTGATTTGGAACGAAGTCGTGAATAGGATCGACTTCTACGTACTTTTGAGAGACTTCTACGAGCTCGTGAATGACTTCGACTTCTTGATTTGCTTCTTGTTAAACTGTGAGACAATTCACGAATATCTCTTCCATATTCATCTTTTCTAGAACGTGGTTTTTCGGAAACAATTTTTCTCACGTCATATCTTGGTAATTCTTTGCGTTTCTCTTTTTTCTTAACAGTTTCCTTTTTCTTCTTTTTATCTTTGTCTTTATCCTTCTCTCTGGATCGTGATCGTCGATCCTTCTCACGATAATTTCGATCCTTTGTATTCTTAGTCATTTTTTTCCAAGAGAAATTTTCTGATGATATATTTTCTTTATTCTTCTCTGTCTCTTTGCTTCTCTCTTTTTTATCCTTTTTCTTTTTCCTCTTGGCATCGTCATCATCATCATCACCTTTGTTTTCCTTGGCACGATCTTTTCGTGCGAGTCTTCCTTCATCGGGTATTTCACCTTCTTCCATTTCCTTCTCCTTTCTCAATGACAGCAATGTTAATTCATCTTCAAAATTCATTGCCTCATCGGTTTCGGAAATTGCTTCAGTTCCAAGTCCAGCGTAAGCTGGTGGTGTTCGACAACGATCAAGATCATCGTTTTTATCTCTTGTCGGTGTTATTGGCTCAAGACCACTTTCATCGAATGGTGATACGGATTTTTGTCGTTTTTCCTTTAAGGGTAATTCATCTTTGCATGGTGTATATCCACCATCGGAATCCCACATTTCTTGCTCTGGAGCATCTCTTTCAGAGGCACCTTCTTTCTCAAGTGGAAAATCATCACAATCGGTTGGCAATTTATCTGGTAATTCTGTTTCATCTTTCTCTTGATCTTCCTCGTTGGTTAATAAATTATCAGGTCTTGGTTCAACAATTTCACAATCATCATTTTGCGATGATTGTATTGTATCGGCAATTGAAATAACAGTATCGGGACTTCGAGCAATATCCATTTTATCATCATTATCATCTTTTTTTCCTAATTTCTCGTTATCATCAATTTCCTTTCTCTCGGGAGTTCTTCCTTCATCACTATCACTTTCCACTTGTTTTCGATCCTTTAACTCAGGGGTTCTTCTATCAGATTCATTGTCTTCTTTTGGACTATAAACTACTGGTACTGCAACATCGGGACTATAAAGTGTCATCATTCCACTACCTTTTGGACTGTAACTTTCTTCTGAATCAATTTTTTGTGTTGAAAGCTCCGATTCATCGGGTTGTATATCCGTTTGATTATCTGAATTATCAATAATTTGCGTTGGCAATTCTGATAAATCGATTTCTTCATTTAAAAGTTGTGTTGGACAATCACTGATATCTTCTTTCGTTGAATCCAATGTTTGTGTTTGTAATTCGGATATATCTTCAATTTTTTGTGTTTCCAATTCGGAAATATCGTGCTTTTGTGTTTGAAGCTCTGAAATATCTTCAGCGGGTGATTCAGAGAATTTTTGTGTCGGTAGTTGTGAATCACATTCTTCTGATTCTGTATCATCAATGTGAATTTTTTGTGTTGGAAGTTCTGACTCATCGATTGCATCTACTTTATTGTCAAGATCTTTTGTTTCCGAATTATCAGAATCAATTTCCATATTATTATCAGAATCCTTTTGTTTTGTTTTCTTCTTTTTCTCCTTACAATTCGAATCATCTTTCTCCTGTTCAATGGAACTTTCCATTTCCTTATCCATCTCGTCATATAAATTACCAAATTTATTATTTAATTTCAATGTATTTATTTTGAATGTGATTTTTCCTCTTGAATCATTTGATGATATTTTCTTTGGTGGAATTTTACTTATTGTTTGCCTCTCTTTGCGTAGTGCTTCAATGTAGGGTGTTGGTGGTTCGGGAATGTCGGCTAAATCACAAGTTTGAACATCGCCAAGAATAATATCTTCATCTTCGGGTAAATCAGGCATTTCTGGTGGTAATGGTGGGGGTTCAAGGGGACCAATTTGTGATGATAATTCTTGTTCGGTGTGACGGGCAACGTCCATTGTTTCTGATGAATAAATCGAAAAGTTTGGACAATCTGCTTGTGAATCATCGTCCTCTTCATCGTCATCATAGGCTGTTAATCGAATTGCCGATTTTATTGGTGGTGCAGTGAAATCATCGTCGACATTGAGAATATTTAAGCCAGCAAAACTTTCGAGTGACGGTGGTGGTTCTAAGGGTGGTGGATCTTTGGGAGAGGGAATTTTATCAATGTCAATGTTACTCGTACGTTTATTACTATCATTACTGTCACTTTCCTCGTCATTAAATGGATCGTATTTATCGTCAGTTTTCTCGTTCTTTGGAGCATCATCTTTTGGCGTGTCATCGATAATCAATTCCTGATCACTGTCATTGTCTTTTTCACTTTTAGAATTCTCATCGAAATCCAATAAACCGGATGGTGGTTCTGGAGGTGGAAGAAGAGTATTTGGATTATTGGGACTGTCGTGTGATTGACTTTCGCTTTCCACGTTTTTGCTTGGTCCAACCATATCACTATAAATATCTAATTCTTCATCGTTTGTTTTATTCGGTTGTGATTCAGCTGATTCCGAAGGCAATATTGGTTCAAAAGGTATGTCCGTTTGTTGGCTTGGTGTTTCGGTAAATTCTTCCTCGCTAACAGGTGGAGGTGGTACATTATTTGGTGGAATTGGCATTCTCAATTGAGCAGGGGGACCAGGTGGAATTAAGGGACGAATTAAAGGTGGTGGTCCTCTTGTGAAATTGTCAGAAAATGGAAATGGTGGTCTCTCATTGCCACCTTCATTAAATGGTAATCTTTCTGGCATTGAATAACGATTTCTCTCGTTGCGAAAATGTTGAGGATTACGATTGCGAAATGGTGGAGTACCAAAATGTCCTGGTGGACGAACTTGGAAATTTGTGTTAAAATTTTCTGTTGGACCACCACGATTATTAAAGTCATCTCTCATGCCACCACCGCCGCCACCACCTCCGTAACTACGTCTTCCACCACCTGAATAAGAATCACGTCCACTGTAACCCTGACCACCATGACTTTGACGATTATTTTCCCTGTATCCACCACGGAAATTTCCTCGATTTCCACCACCACGTGGACTATTATACATTGGTGCTTGTGTTATATCATTTGAATTTACATTCGACAAATCCAAAGGCTGATCTTTACCGGGTAATTTATCAGGTGTATTTGATTCTTTCTTCTTAATCGGACTATCATTGTTATTGATACTGCAACTATTTTCCCCTTCATTATTGAGAACTCGTAATGAGCCATCGTTTTTAACAGAGATTTGACTTTTTTGATTATGCCAAATTTCTTGACTTTTGAGAATACTGTCGAGTAAATTTGAACTTCCAGTATCTTCCATGTTGACTGTTGGATTGATAATTCCTTTGAGTGCCATTCGTCGTCTGATTGTTGAAATATTCCTTCGTGGTCGTGCGACAATTGCTGGACCCTGACCAAATGTGCTATCGTTTTCATCTTCGGACCTAATTGGAAACAAATACATATTCATGCCACTGAAATGCATGTACAATTTTCCTAATTCACATTTAACAATATATCTTTTAACAAAACCTTTTCTTTTTAGACGAAAAAAAAGACAAAGTCTTGTTAAAGATTTCTTTATATTCGAAACTATTTTTCGCAGATAAATTGTTGCTTTTTGAACAAAAAAAAAAAAAGTAATATACTTTATTCGCGACAGTTTTTGATTAAAAATTTGAAGATAAATTTATTTTTTATTTATTTTAATTTACTGTTTACAAAAAAAAAATTACAATTTAATTATCAATATTAAATTTTCGAAATTTAAAGAAAAATATGATTATTTCTATTATTTTTATTAATAAAATTTTGAATTTTAATAAAAATAACAAACGTTTTCTCATAGAGGAAGTATAAGAAACTGTCACGAGTAAGTGTGCAACAATTTTTCGAGGAAAAAATTTTCATTCTCGAACATAAAGAATTAGTGTAATTTTTTAAAGAAACAACTTATAATTAAAATATAAACTGATACAATTCAGAACAATGTGTATTGTGTGCAATTTGATTTGGGAATTAAAAATAATTACTAAAAGATCCATTTATCTCAGCCGTTATTTAGGATGAGTGTGGTTGAATAACGCATTTTTATAAAAATTTAGATTTCTTCGTCAGTGACGTCATTTTTTTTTATACCTGCCTAAATAAATTTTTTATATTCTTCTATAATTATTATTATATTAATGTACGATAATTAATCAGATTACGATTTAACTGATCAACCTAAACTATCGTAAATTAAATAATAGAGAAAAATTTATTTATTTTCTAAATATTTGCCTATTTCTATTTCACTGAATGAAATTTTGGAAATGCAGATTTTATTCATAATTATTTTCCATTTTAATTTGAGTTTCTAATTTCATAAAAAGACTTTTTTTTAAATATCATGTCTTTTAAAAACACAATCGAAATATATTTTGAAAATTTATCATTAATCGATTTTTTGTCTGATTAAACTTTTTAATTAATTGAAACATTATCGTTTAATTTCGGTTTTTTTTCAAGAAATTGCGATAATGTAGTTGCCTAATAATTAAAAAAGAAACAATACTATTTTGCTTCAAATGTTTAATGAGCCCATAGAAAGCCCACGAAAAGTTTGCTTTAATTTTATTTTCTTTAAACTTTTGTTTTTAATATTGGTGCAATAATTTTTGCTTTTTTTAAATTATTTAAATTATAAGCGAAAGAACTTAAAAAAAAAATGATGCCCTTATCATCTTATTTGATTGTCTGGAAAAGTTACATTATTATTAATTAACAAATATTCACTTACCCAGGACTAAGGAGAGAGTCTAAGGTGAGCCCACTTCCAAAAATGTTTAATTGTGGTATGCCAGCTCTGTATCTTTCTGATGAAATCATGGAGCCAGTTTCATTTACTTCAGAAGCGTTTCTATTTATTTTTGCCTTTAAAAGAGGCATTCCTTTATTTTGTCTTTTCGCGTTAACTACCGATAACACTGTTCGTGCCCGACGTTTATTTTTCCTTCTCCGTCTTCCCTGAAAGAAAAAAAAAATTTACATTTATTACTAAAAAGTCTTGTACAATTTTAATTTAGATCTATTCATTACTTTGTGCATCTATTTATATTTTTAAAGTTTTTAACACATTTTATGCATTTAATACAATAAATAAATTTTATTTATTAAGTATAACTGAAAAATATTTACTTTTTACAATAAAAATTGAATTGTATACCTTAACCTTGTTTCGTTATTATACCTTTTAACCATTTCCGATTTGTGTTTACCTTTTCAAGATACTTTGTGCATAATCCAAATACAATTGATATTCAAACATTTTCATTTAAAATTTTATTAAAGGAAATTTACTTTTTTCTATTCATTTGCAAAATAAAGTCTTCTCATTAGGTATGGTAAAATAAATAAATGTATAATTTAAAAAAAAAAAATAAGCGAATGTAAATTTCTAAAATAAAAATCAGAAAATTCGTTCTAATTTTGTTAGTTCTTTCAGTTTTGTTTTTCTTCATATACTTATTAATGATCAAATAGAATTCTAATATTAAAATTTTCTTTTACTTATAAATATTGTTCGAAACAAAGATTTGTCAATTTTTTGAAATTCAAGCCAATCTTATTTCAAAACATGAAAATGAAAAATGCTTATTACGTTAATAAATAATGTAAATAAAAAAAATTGTGAGTTTTAAATAGACAAAAAAAAAAAAAATACATGCATTTATCACAAAAAAAGTAACTACAAAAAAAAGCCAAGTGCGTTCATTAAGAAAATCATTTATTCACAATTTAAAAAAATGATTGATACATGAGACGAAAATAATAAGAAACACACTATAAAAATAATCACAAAATGAGTTTTTGTTTCATAAATTAATAAAAAATGAGTATTAATTCACTATTTAATTATTAATTAGTCTATAGGAAGAACATGTAATTTCATCTAATGAAACTTGAACGCTTGGCATTTTGTTATTGTTTTTTTTTGTTCGGAAATGAAGAAGAATTTTTGATTTATTTTTTGACACTAATGTTAGTGACGATGAAGACATTAATGTACCTTGCGTTTCTTGGTTTTTCTTTTTCTGCTTGTTGATGTTGTGGTTTCCTTGACTTTCACATAAGTAACAAATTCCTCTTCCTCACCTTCATCGTTTATTTCGGTAATTCGCACTTCACGTAATATTGTATTATTTCGTTTTTTAGTTTTGCTCTTACTTGTTTTACTTTTTTTTGTTGTTGCACGACGTGTTGTTTTTGTACGTCCACTTGATGTGGATGGCGCGTTAATATCGGGTGAACGACTACGACTATTTTCGCCAATCGATTCAATTCCGGACGACGTCGATGGTTGATCCGGATCAAAGAGACGTCGACGTTCGCGTGCCCGTGTTTCACGTGATAAATTACGACGACCCGCGCGAATATTTGCACGAACACGTTCAGTTTGACGTGTACGCGGAATAATACGCGGACTAAACGTGTTCTGAATTTGATGTCGACCACGTGTACGACCGTACGAAAGACCGAGACGACGAGCTTCTTCTATTAAATCCGGAACCTCATCGAGATCAATGTCAATCTGTAATGAAAATGAAAGAACATTATTACAATTTTTCAAAATTTTAAATTAATAAATGTAACGTCCAATCAGCCGAAAGTTTTGAACATTCATATGAACGAAATATTTTTTTCAATCTATAAATTATTAAAAATTATGATGACCATGTAAAATAAAACAGTAAATTAAACAATTATTAACATCTTTTTAGATATTTTAAACAATATTTTGTAATAAAATACGTACTAAAAGAAGTTGCAAAAAAAATTTCGTTCATATGAATGTTCAAAACTTTTGGCTCATAACGTCCAATAAAACATTTTACAAATAAGAGTCATGTTTCTTTAATTTTACAAAATGTGTTAACCAATTTTTCTTCATTGAAAACAATTTCCTAAATAAACCAAAAGAAAAAAAAAATGTTACCATGTTTTCATGAACTCTAGGCCCAACTACACTCTCTATTGCCGAAAAACGCATGAAATTACGTAAGTCATGTCGAGATATCTGAAATTACATACTATCAATTCCCTTCCATAAATCCCGGAGGATTTATCGACATTTCAATAATTAAGGTTTGAACGTTAAGTTACTAATTAATTTTATCCCCGAAGTACAGGATTTAAAAATAGAAAATTTTATTATAAAAATCTAATAATTTGGATCTTTAATTGGTACGCAAGTAATTCTAAAGATCATTATTTTTAAATACAGAAAATAATTTTTTGATTTTAAAATAAAAAAAATAAATGAAAAATATATACTTACAGCTTCAGCATCATTTTGCATATTTTGTGAGCAGTCTGAACAGAACCATTCGTCTAAGGGAACTTGGAACAATTGAGGTTGTAGACACTCCATGTGATATCCTAAATCACAGCCATCGCACAACAACATCCGATCTTCTCGATCACAATCGCCACAAATTTCACAGAAAGTTGGATCTTCTTGAATTGTATCCTCAAGTGGTTGTTTCACTTCAATAGGAATGTGCCTCAAAATCTAAAAAAAAAACATAATATTTTAAACTAAACTTAAAAGAAATTAATTTTTTCATATTGATTTTTTCTTCATAAATTTATAATTTCTATTTAAATTTTAGATGAAAATTAATAACCTTTCCAGTGTGTGATTTGACATTAATAACGGTGAATGTTTGTCGATCCACTGGACAAGTATTGATATTTTTACTCCATTCTAAAATGCATTCAAGACAGAAGCAATGTTCGCACGATGATGGAGTTGCAATTTCTTGTTTTCTAAATGGCAGTAAACAAATTGGACATTTCTCAGATTGTCCATCGCTATTGTCAGATTCAAATCCAGCGCCGGATGTTGATTCATTTTCACCATCATTAATTTTCTTCATCTTTTTCTCGTCCTTTGCATTTGACGATGGTACATCATTATCTGATTCGTTTATACTGTCCCAGTCAGATTGCCATTCTGAACCGGTATCACTATCGTCTGATGAGGAAAATTAACGAATTATTAAATTGATTCAATATAATTGTAGAAAAAGAAAATAGTCAATACTTACTGAAATTAGGACCAGTAATTTCAGTGTCACTACTTCCACAACTGGTTTCACTTTCGCTAACTAATCGCTGTAAAATAGTATTTTTTTCAGATTGTTGGTCACTGATATAAAAATATTAATATATTCTTTTTTTTTTATAAACAATACATACGTGGATTTTTCTTTTGTTGCTTACTGGTTTTTGCACATCACTATCTTCATCACTGCCTTCTCCATCACTGACAACTCGTTGCTGTTGATTTAAAAAACATAATTTATTTTTTATTAACAATTTTTTTGATTTTTATTATTCATTCTCTATTATTATTATTACTCACAATAATTTTTGATTTATTGTAATTGAAAATAAAAAGAACTCAATGATTTACAAATTTTTGATTAAATGACACAAAAATATCCTATACATACGTGAGTCTTCCTTTTGCGATGATTTCGAATAATTATTGAGTCCTCGCTGCTATCACTATCACATATAATCAATCTACGGGATTTGGATGTTTTTTGAATCCTCTCGCCATCACTTGACATTTTGAAACTTTGAAATGAATTTACATTCACTTCATATCTTCAAGTTCAACTGTGTACAGAAGGCAATAATTTCGTTAAAATATGTTACAGGAACATTAAACATTAACAATTTATTAAATATTACTATTATTATCAAGAGTAAAATTATTTATAAGTCGTTAGAGCGAAAATACTTGAGGTGAACGAAATGATTCCCCCTTTTTTTGCTATAATACATTTAAAATTAAAAATACATAATTAAATTCAATTAGATATTTTAAATATCAAATATTTGACATTAAAAATATACAATAACAATACATTGTTATTAAATATATATAAGTAATAAAATTCTTTACTGCTTTTTGGTTACACAGAACCTGAACCTTTACGATTTCTTGCCCACGAAAAAAAAATCAATACTTTCTATATACAAGCGATTTTTCCTGTAGAAACCGTTAGCAGTTTCAGCTGTTTAACTTGCATCTGCACGTATTTTTAAATCAAAATATGAACAAATTCTAACTAAAATACAAGTTTCATACGATTACAAATACGACTTCTCAGAATAATACATACATACATACATTTTTTTTTCTCAAAAAGAAATGTATAGTTAACAAATATAAAATTGAAAGAACAAGAAATTTAATTTCTACTTATATTAAAATAACTGTATTTATTTAGTGAAAAAGAAATAGATCTCTAATGAGTAGAAGCTGATAATTAAGCATCAACTTATTTATCATCAGCAAACATTGAGTTTTGAAATTGACATTTTTAAAAGATACAAAAATAATTCATAATGAAAATATATAAATTTAGGATTTTTAAATAAATTTGACAAATGAAGTACGTAGACAATTTTATAACCGACCTCGATCAAAAGGTATTCGATCACTCACAAATCATTGATTACACAGGTAATACTTGTATTGAACCAAATAGCATAAAACACACTCTTAATTAATTTCCATATCCAAAAACATGCATCTAAATATTTCTTTTTCAATATTTCATTTTTATAAGGAAATTAACAGCTTCTTTTGACACAGAGATCGCACCCATAAACGTCGCTTTAACAATTTTATTCCAACTCACTTTCAAACGTCAAGGTGCGTTATACTAAAAATTACTTTTAATTAAGAATCAAAATGTTTTATTCTAACATTCAGCACTAATAATCACAACCAAGGGTATCAACTTTAATTTCGACAGATTCTTTTCCTTAAGGATGTTAAACAGAGGGAAATACTCTTGTCAGAAGAGGTAAAGAAATACCACCATTTTGCACTCTTCTCCAACACTTTAATACCCGTTCAATTATCATTATCAAAATGAATTTATTTAAAAGAATATTACCTACTGAGATTAAAATCCGATGAGCGTTAATAAACTTTACAAATATTGACAATTCACAGTACGCTTCTATCAGAATTTTACGACATCTTGGCTTAAGACGCCGTGGACATTTGCGACGTTGCGCTATTTCTCATTCAAGATGGCTTCTTAGTCACAGAAATATATATATGGAAAATTTAGTATTAAATTCGCTGTTTGAATAAGAATTAGGAAGCTTTTGTGTTTTAATTTCAAACAATTATAGACTAATTAAAACTATATAATTTAAAAATACTTTTAAAATAGCGAATCTATTCACCAAATTTTTAAAATTAAATTACACAAAAATTTACACTATCGACATGCAGATGTTAAGATGCATGAATTGCTCACTAGCGCACTCTTTATGCAAAAATCGTAACAAAAATAGTAATTGTAACTTATAATTAATTATTTAATTAAAATGTTTAAAAATATTCAATTTTAATTAATTCACAGAAATTTTAATAAGACGTTAAATAAAAATATATATCACATTTTTTATAAGAAAATTATATTTGATTTTAATTTATTATTTTATTTTTGAAAATTTCTACTATTTCCGGATTTCCGGAATGTGGCGCCACTTCCATATACCGTGAGCGCAAAATTTTAAAAGTAGAGTCTATCATAAAGAAATGTTTATTTAGAAATAAATTTTTTTATGGCTAATTTAATTAACTTTTATTAGAAAATTTCTAATAATATTTCTTAATGCAAACAAAGATGTGTAAAAAAGCTTTTATTATTTTTAAATAAATTGATAAATAAGAATATTAAGAATTTTGACATTCCTAACCTTTATTTCAGCGACAACAGCGCTTTTCTTTTTTGACGAGAATCCGTCGCCATGGGTCGTATGCACGCACCCGGGTAATTAAATATATCATTTTTATTAAATTTAAGATATTTATTAACTTAAAAAATACTAGTTATTAATATTTTAATTGCTGTTAAATGTATATAAATGACTAAACACGGTTTTTATCCTTATTTTCAAACAAATTTCATTGACAACATGGAAGCCATTTTAGACGTTTGCCATGTGTTTTTTTCTAATTTTGCATAGTGTTTTTCGTAATTATGGAGCATATTTTATTTGTGAATTGTTAACTTTATGATTTAATTTTACTAAAAGTAACATTTTATTATATTTTAAGTAAGGAGTAAACTTTGTAAATAATTATAAAATTTTAGGTTATGTGTGTTTAAGAATTTGGCTTTTTACTTTAAATTTTATTTAATTTCACACCTGAATATAAATATAACTTTTTATTATTTCAAATGGGAATAATATTTATTCACTTATTTTAATTATATTTGTTGTATTTTTTTATTTTAGAAAGGGTATATCCCAGTCAGCATTGCCTTATAGGAGAAGTATAGCAACATGGTTGAAACTTACACCAGAGGATTGCAAAGACCTTATATTTAAACTGGCGAAAAAGGGCCACACACCTTCACAAATTGGTAATTATTGTAAAATTTTATTTTCAACACTTCTTTTTATGTGCATTTTATTTTTGAGAAATTGCAAGCTACCAGCTGAGTTTCGACAAAAGGTTGTAACTCTTCCTAAATGTTTGCTAGATTAAAGTTAATGAAGTTTGAGGAGGAAATTGGTAAAATATTTTCTCTTTAGGTTATCATTATACATGTTATGCATTATAAATTTTAATTGTAGAATTGCAAGCAACCAGCTGAGTTTCGAGAAAATGTCTTAACTCTTCCTAAATTCTTGCTAGATTAAAGTTAATGAAGTTTGAGGAGGAAATTGGTTAAATATTTTCTCTTTAGGTTATCATTATACAAGTTATGAATTATGAAATTTACTTGAAAAATTGCAAACAACCAGCTGAGTTTTGACAAAAGGTCTCATCTCTTCCTAAATGCTTGCTAGATTAAAATTAATGAAGTTTGAGGTGAAAATAGATAAAACATTTTCTCTTTAGGTTATCATTATACATTGTTCATAAATTTATTTTTTAAATAAAAATATTAGAAAATAAAGCAAATACTGTTTATTTTAATTAAATATTTTTTTACTACTTTTTTAGCTTTCCGATTTTTTTCATTCGTGAATTTTAAATGGAAATTTTATTTTTTTGTTATAGGAGTGGTTCTCCGAGATTCCTATGGGGTTGCACAGGCACGTTTCCGTACTGGAAATAAAATTCTCCGTATTTTGAAGTCTTTGGGACTTGCCCCCGAAATCCCTGAGGATCTTTATCATTTAATCAAAAAGGCAGTCGCTATTCGTAAACATTTGGAGAGAAATCGCAAAGATAAGGACAGTAAATTTCGTTTAATTCTTGTGGAATCAAGAATACACAGACTTGCTCGTTATTATAAACAGAAGAGTGTCCTACCGCCAAGTTGGAAATACGAAAGCTCAACAGCCAGTGCTCTTGTGGCTTAAATTTTGTTTATTCAAAAAAAAAAAAAAAACAATTTCAACATCTTGTAATAAAAATAAGGTTAATATACTTATTTGTATTTTATTTAATATTTTCCCCTCTAAATGATATTTTAGTTTAAAAAAAAAAAGAAAATAATTTATCGGTTTTATGGTAAAGAAATAAAGAAATAAATTATTGTAAAACAAATTTTATTTTTTCTAAAGGATGTTTTTTTTTGTTGTTAAGAATTGATATTTTAGTCGATTAACTTACGTATTATATAATTTTTCACAATTCAACTCGCGTTTCCATAATTCTGTTGTACACGTTGCCATTTTGCCACCATACTTGACATTTCTTTTTGCTTCTTTCCAACTCCGAGTTTCGTCTGAAATTGAATAAATGGCACAAATGTTTAAACTTAGAATATCAGTCATCAAGAAGTGATTAATTTTTTTAAAATTTAATTTAAATATAAATTGAATATATATATATATATTATTTTATCTACCTTTTTCTTCTTTTTTTCCTTTGTCATTACATCTGAATTTGTCGATTGATTCTCTTCGGATTGCATTTGAGGTACAGGAGAAGAAACTGCTTCTGGATAATTGCTTTCTGGTCTCTCAGGTTGTTCACTTTCCAAATTACTATTTTCTATTGAAGCAATATCATTGTAGAATGAATCGATGGCCGATCCTAAAGATTCACGATGTGCTTTTACAGGTGGTTTGGCAATAACTTGATTAGTGCCATAAATTTGTGAATAATCCGTCATCATAAATTGAACGCCCTCCTGTCCTAATCGACTCGCAGCTGCTACTAACGCCTGCTATAAAATAAAAGAAAATTATAAAAATATGTATAAAATTTTTAAATTAAATGAAAAAACAAACTCTATTATAATTACATTATGCAAATGATATGCAGGATAATGTAATAATTGTCCTTGCATAAGTGCAGTGTGATGCGTTAAAATGGCATTTCCCATTGTCGCAGCATAAATTGGATTCGTTTGATGTGGAGTGGCTGCGTATAAAACACCAGATTCAAGAACTGTCGCTGGCAATGCATAAGGTATTTCAGGTGGATCAACTCCCGGTGGAAGAGGTTCATTGGATTTAATAACTTTCGGCGGCGATGGTGGCAAAGGAGGTTGAGATGTTTCAACAGTCGCATCCGGAAGTGGTGGAGCTAAAATAATTTACAATTATTCAAATTAGAAAAAAATATTCAAAACATAAAATATTAAAATTTTCTAAATTTATTGTATTTATTTTAAAATACGTGGAAAATACATACCTTGTTCTACTTTCTCTTTTTTATTATCCAAATCGTTGTCTTGACTATTTTTTCGCTTCTGTCCTCTCTTTAAATCTTCAGCATAAATTCTGGGAGGTGGTGGTGGACTTGGATTAGAAATTTGTGGCGGTGGAGGAACTTTAATATCACTGGAATTTGAATCCTTAGTGATTTCTTCTTCCACATCTGGGGAAACTTTTTTCTCATTATCCTCAGTTGTTGAATTCTTTTGATTTAATTCCACGTCCCTCTCTGTTTAAAAGTAAACGTTAATAATTAATTAAATTAAAAAATTAAAAAAACAATTTAAGAATTCAATTTTTTTTTACCAATAATAGGTTCCTCCTGTTCAGGTGGTGGTGTTGTGCATAATTCCATTTCCTCGGTACCTCCGATAACGTCCATTTCTGGATAAGTCCATTGGGCTGCACCAGTTGCCGCATTCCGATAATAGTACCGTTTATGCGATCTAAAAACATCCCCCCCAAAAAAAGACAAAAATGAGAGCATTAGATAATAGGGAATTTTTCACTATGTAATTTTTTTTTCACAACTCATGTCGCATATTGCACATTTTGCATTTTTCTTTGTTTTGTTTTTTTTTTTTTTTTTTTAATTACTGAACGTAATCCATTGATACCCCTACCTGCTTTACAGATTGCCTTAAAAATCTGGGGAAGATCCGTCTATATTTTTTTTACATTTAAAGCATTTTTTTTTTTAATCAATCTACTTGAAAAGAAAAATTCAAAAATTTTTTTTTTGATTAAACAAACAAAATATTTTGCTAAGAAAAAAAAAGAAAAAAAGAACCTTTTTAAAGTTTTCTGTTGGGTGTAAACAAAATTACAAAGAATTTGGAATGGATAAGATAGATTTTCCTATATGAAAATTAAAAAAAAAAACAAGTTTAATTTTTGTCAAGGCAAAATTATCTTGTAACTCTCGGATGATCCAGCATCTTCCACTGAAATCATGTTCACATCTCGTCAACCTATAACAACAAGATAAAGCATAAATCACGAAAATTAATAAAATCCAGAACGATGTCTTCCAGAAACTGTTGTAATTTCCTTATGTACTTTTCTTTTTTTTTCCATATTTATTTAAAAGTAATTTTTTGAGGCGTTGATTTAGAAAAAAAGCCTATCATAAAATCTCACGTCTATCCGAAGTGCAATTGTCAAACACTAACTAAATAACATGATTTAAAAAAAATATTAGAATGCATTTTTTAAGTGATTAAATTAATATCGTTCTTAATTCTCAACGTTGATTTAAATGTCGAATAAATTCACTAACATTTGTAATACCTTAACTTTATTACAGATCATTATACTTTATTTTTATAATACTTGTTATCGTACTTTATTATACGTAAACTTTGAGAATGTTTTTTTATGAATGAAAAATGAAAACTGTAAAAAAGCATAATATTTATGTACAGACATATTTGAGGGTTAATTTATTATGTTTTAAATAAATCTTTAAAGAAGACTAAACTTTGTTTTAAATAAATTAAATATAAATAAATTAATAAGAAAATTAACATAGAAAATTGTTTTAAAAATAAAAAATCGACCCTAAAATATGTTTTAAATATTCTAAAGCAAATAGATATATACAATATCAAATGAAAAAGTAATAGACTTTTTCTAAAAATTAAAAAGAAAACTGAGTTTTATGTACACACTCCAAAATCAAATTAAAGTTTAAAAATAGACGAAAAATTAATTAATGAAATACAAGATGCAAAATCATAAAATATAAAAATGCTAGTGCAATAAAATTTCCTATGAGCAATTAAATTTTCTTCCTTTTTCAAAATTTTAAATAAAAGCCTGAAAGTAACAAAATAACTGAAATAAAAATTGTTTCGTAAAAAAAAAAGGAAATTCTTATGAAAATAAGATGTAATAGAAACATGATAATAAAGATATCTACAATTAAAAAAATAAAAATTATTTTAAAATCTACCAGTAATTAATAATTTATAATAAATAATTTAAAATGTACCGAAAGCACGTTTAAGCTGGAAGACAAGAATTATTTAATAAATAAAATTTTAGAAACAAATTAAAAAGAAAAAAATTGAAAGAAGCTTTTGAATTGAAAGTTAATTGTCCCAAGGAGCTCTTGTCATCTAAATTTAATTTACAAATATTAAAGAATGCGAGAGAGGTATGGGATAATTTTTTGTGAAATAAAGAAGTAGAATGATGGTGTATTTGGACTTGAGATAGAGTCTGTCAGGATACCGTACCTATCCCACTGACATTCCCATCCTGGTGGTGCTGCTGTTTGCTCTAATCGACTCAATTCTCGTCCCGTTGTTGTTAACCATTGATGGAGATACGTTTGTTTCAGGTCCCCACTCTCCCATGCCTCTAATAGTGTCTAATTTAATTAAATTTAACAAATTTTAATTTTCCTCTTCTCAACGATATAATGAAATGTTTTATTAAATTTTGAATTACTGATGAAAAATAATTTTTTTAGTATCTTACTTGAAGTTGAATCGCCATAATTTGAACAGCCGACGCCATTTGACATCCTTCAGATAAGAATTTCAATTTTTCCGAAATCATTTCAGTCAAATATTTGAATTCTTTATTTTCAGCAGCTGGTATACTTTTCACTTCATCTGTTGATTTTGTGCTATTGTTTATAGTTTCACCTTTCACAAAACTAATTAATTCTTTTTCACTTTTTACTGGAACTTCTGGTTTAATTTCCATAGATTCGGTCTCAGTTACTTCCTCCTTTTCTTTTTGGAATCCAAAACCAAATCTATCGCTCTCATTATTTGTATTTGCTGTTTGTGACTCCTCTGTACTTGGTAATTCTTGAGTTTCTACCACTTTTGGTCGATTTGGCAAAACTGGAAAAAAATGAAATTATAACTTTTATCTAGGAAATTTCTGAATTTAAAAAAATATTATACTAACCATCAAACGCTATTCTTTTCTTTCTCTGAAAAGCTTTTGTAGGTGTTTCTAAATTTTCCAAAAATTTATTAACCTTTACTATGTCTTGTGAGGGTTGATTAATTCGCGATTCCGATTCCGAATTATCAACATTGTCAATTTCTTTATTCAATTCTTTAGTTTCAATATCTGTTGTATCGGTTTTTTCGGTTTCAACATTACGATATTCAAAAATACGAATACAACCCGTTTCCGTTTGTCTTGTTTCGACTTTTTTCACAATTCCATCGTTCGCTATTTTTATCGTTGGTTTATCAGTTTCATATTCGACAATTGGAAATAAAGGTTTAATTTCACTAGCTGGTGGAATTTCTTCATCATTATCGGAATCATCCTCATAACCAGGTACCAATGATACTTTTAATTCACTTTGTGTTTGTGATTTTTCCGATTCATTTTGTATTTTATTCTTATTATGTTCTGTCTCAAATGGTGATCCACCCCTGGAATTAGACTCTGTATTTTTCTCCATTGATTGTAATAGTTTAGCTTGATTTTTCAAACGTCTTAATATATCTTCTTCGGTGCCGTTTGACGACTCTGAATTTATTGAAGAGACACTTTTAGTTGTTGATGATGATGATTTTGTTGAAAGAAAATTTTCAATTGACGAGGAAAATGATGAATTTTTACCTGAAATTTTTTCTTGCATTTCAGGCGGAAGACTGGGGCCAATTTCAATTGATTGTGAACTTGATTTTACTTCATTATTTCTCTCTCTACTGGAATAATCCGAGGGTTTACGATGATGCACTTTCTTCGGTTTACTTTCGGCGATCTCTTCGACATGACTATCGGATTCACTTTCTTCGCTCTCTTCATTTCCAAAGGAAGTTATCATTTCAATTTTTCTGTAAATTATTCAATAAATATAAACAATTTAAAAAAAAAAATTACTAAGAAAATAAATAAATAAACATTTTAATATACCCGTCATCGGAATCATCGTCTCGTAAATGTGGAGGTATAGAGGTATCAAGTTGTTTTGTATTAAGTGGAACTTGATTTTCCTGAATTCCTGCTTGTCTGTTTCTATTTCGGGCAACAACTTCCTTTGGTATCATACCCTCAGGTATTTCACTATTTGATGAAACTCCAGGCCAATGACCCACATGTAAATTATGTTGTTGATTAACGGTCATTTGCTTCTTTTCCTTCCATAATCTATATTCAGGTGGCATTTCCCAAGTTACTTGATTTGTATTGGTGTGCCAATAATATGGATAGCCGGTAGACTCATCAAAACATTCTTGCCAAGCTGTAAAGAAAAATTGAAATACATAAAAATATTACTTTCATAAAAAAAAAAATTTTAAACTTACGCATTTCTGGTTGAATAGAATATGATTTTCCTTTAATATGATCCTTAGGAGGAGCAATAGAATTTTCAGGAGCTATCGATTGAATTTCCTAGAAAGAATAAATAGAACATAACAAATTAAATATTCATTAAATTAATATAAACTATATTATAATATAAAATAATATAAATATACCTTGAAAAAATCATTGACTTTATCGTCCAACTTATTTGAAGTTTGTTGAACATCGTCCGTTTCACTATCTGAATTATATTGTCCTAATAATCCTTTCAATGGATTAGATCCATTTTCTCCAGGAATTAAATTACTACTTTGTTTATATATTTCTAAAAATATAAGAATGTATTGTTATCTAAAAAAAACAATTCCAAGTAAAAACAAAATGATTTAAAACTTAAATTCAATTACCTTGTGAAAATCTAACTGGAGAATTCGAGTGTTCCCCATCAATATCCAAGATGGGTCTTCTTTGACGTCTTTTCATAATAAAAAAACAAAACAAAAAAAAAATGTATAAATATAAAAATTACGATTCCTTAATTGTTACTATACATCACTCAATGTTAATATAACATTTTTATGCAAATGTTATAAGAATGTACAAAAAAGTAAATAATTCATACTCTATTTTCTCACAATATTTATCACTACATAAGTCTAGAAAAAATAAATATAAAAAATGTAATAAATTTAAAATTAAAATCACACAAATTGTGTCCTCATGAAATTACATAAATTCCTTCATATAATAAATAAATTTACAGATTTTATATAGGAATTATCACATATAACCTCAAAAAGCATTGAATATTTGACACTTTATGTCAATTTGGGTGAATTCACAATATTTGAGAATTTTATTAAAGGTATATTCACAAAATTTTAATGAAATAATTTGTCCAGATTACAATTCAAAGCGGGAAATCTTCAAATAATTAATACTAATTTTTGATTATTAATTTTCTTTGATTGAAAAATAATAAATAATGAGTTACATTTTTGAAGATTAATTTTTTAAAATAAATTTACTTTAATAATTTGTTATATTTTATATAAAATAGATTTTTAGTGAATATTGTAGTCTATGTATTTTTAGTCTATGACTATTTGAAAGAAAATTCAGAATCTGCAGCATACTTCACACTGGTTATACCCAGTTAACCTATTCTCACTGTATTACATTTTTTAATTAAAAAAAGTGAACGTTTTTTATTGAAAAATGGAACCGTACGATGTAATTGTTAATCAACCTGTCGTTATTGATAACGTATGTATTAATAATTTTAACCTAATTGTCATTATTTATGTATTAGCAACTATTTTTACAAGTGTCAAAATTCCATTAAAAGATGAGAACAAGCCATGTTCTTTTTTCATTCGGAAAGAGAAAAAAAAATTTATTTAGAAAATAGTATACATTTGTCATTAGTAAAATTACAATTTGTTCAACATAGTTTAAATACAACTCATCCAACTTTTTTTTAAAAAAGTAGTCATTTTAAATGATAACTTTGCTATTTGTTCTTTTGTTTTTATTTATTTATTTCCTTAATGGATTATGAATATTAATATTTTTTTTTACTTTTCTATAAATTCAATATTTTGTAAATATTAATTTAAATTTTATTATAATTATCATGAGAAATATTTTTTTGGAGCTAAATATTATCTGTCAAAATTGATTAATATAAAATATCTAATAAATTGTTTATAATAATTAATTTTTTATAGGGTTCTGGAGTAGTTAAAGCCGGTTTCGCTGGTGATCAAATTCCAAAATGTAGATTTCCTAATTAGTAAGTTTGGATAAATTTAATTATTTTTTATATATTTAATAATGAATTAAGGGAATTAATGAAAGTTTTCTTTTTTTTTATGTAGCATTGGAAGGCCAAAACATGTACGTGTAATGGCGGGTGCTTTAGAGGGAGATTTATTTGTGGGACCGATTGCAGAAGAACATCGTGGCCTTCTTTCACTACGTTATCCTATGGAACATGGAATTGTCACTGATTGGAATGATATGGAAAGAATTTGGACATATGTTTATAGTAAAGATCAATTAGCAACATTCAGTGAAGAGCATCCAGTTCTATTGACTGAAGCTCCGCTTAATCCTAGAAAAAATCGTGAAAAAGCAGCTGAAATATTTTTCGAATCTTTTAATGTTCCTGCTCTATTTGTCTCAATGCAAGCTGTACTTAGTTTGTAAGTTATTGAAAAAATTTTTCTATTTTGAGGGTAAGCCACACCCTTTTTTTTTCATTGATAATAATTGAAATTATTAATTCACCAATATTTGAAAATAGATATGCAACTGGAAGAACGACAGGAGTTGTTTTGGATTCAGGTGACGGTGTCACTCATGCAGTACCAATTTATGAAGGTTTCGCGATGCCTCATAGTATAATGAGGGTAGACATAGCAGGTCGTGATGTTACAAGGTACCTAAGGCTATTACTCCGAAAAGAAGGGATCAATTTCAAGACATCGGCAGAATTTGAAATTGTTAAAACAATTAAGGAAAGATGTTGTTACTTGTCGACCAATCCTCAAAAAGAGGAAACTAATGAAACTGAAAAGTTTCACTATGTGTTACCAGACGGAAGTCATTTAGAGGTAAATATTTCAATATTTTATATTCATTTACTTTTAAATAAAAAAAAAAAAAATTATTTATAGATTGGACCAGCTAGGTTTAGAGCACCTGAAGTGCTTTTCAGACCAGATCTAATAGGAGAAGAATGTGAAGGTCTTCACGAAGTTCTCAACTATTCTATTCAAAAGTCTGATTTAGATTTAAGAAAAGTGCTATTCCAAAATATTGTTCTATCAGGTGGATCCACTTTACATCGGGTAAGCAATGTTAAATATGGTTTTATTTTAGATTTGTATTTAAATTTTTTTTTAAAATAATGTGTCCACTCTTTTGCAGGGATTCGGAGATAGATTACTTGCTGAAATTCGTAAAATGGCGCCTAAAGACATTAAAATTAGGGTGAGTATTAAGAAAATTAATTCTTTTTACGAAAAAATTAAAATTAAATTAAATTTCCAGATATCTGCTCCACAAGAACGTTTATACAGTACTTGGATAGGTGGATCAATTTTGGCTTCTTTGGATACTTTCAAAAAAATGTGGTGTAGTAAACGAGAATATGAAGATGATGGAGTCAAAGCAATTCACCGTAAAACTTTCTGAATATTATTTCAAGTAATACGATATGAGATCATTCTAAAAGTAATACGAAAATTCTGCACAATTGTCGCACTTGTCGCGTTGATTTTAATGTCAAATTAAGAACTTTTTTTTTTTTTTAACAGCGCGAAGAACAATTCTTCCGGAGCCTTAGCTTTTAATTTTAAATTTGCGCATATTTTTTACAATATATATATATATACTAATTTATAAACATGAGTATTGAAGAACATTGTGACTAGTAAAGGGAAGAATAGAAGATATAATATTTAAGGCAACTTTAACTCAGTTTTATACGTCACTGTTTAATTAAGTGTAATATATAATAGAGGATTATTTCAAAACAAAAGTATGCTTCACAGAATCAATTTATAGAAATGGAAAACAATTTCTTTTTTTTTTTTTATTGGAATTTTATATATCTTTTTAAAACTGTGATAAGCAAGAACAAAAAGCATAATTATGAAAGAATTATGTCTTTGATGGTAATTTTTCAATACTAACAATTTTTGCTTTGAAATAATAATTGACATATTGAAGGGAAACCAAGAGCCTTGCTTGATAATGTTTCTACTCTTGAACTCAAGCCGAATTTTTATCGCACTTTATTAAAAAAAAAAGAGAAAAATTTTGTTTTTTTTGATCAAGTGCAATGTTTATTGAATGAGATGGCACTGAATTTTAGAAAAATGAAATTTGTAAAAGATATTTATCAATTATTATTATACACGTATTATATAAAAATATTAATGCTTCGGTAAAATTCTCATTCCTTAGTTATTTATATACAAATTTAAAAAAAAAAACAAAGACTTAAGATTTTAAATGTTTTGCAATTGACGGAAATATATTAGGTAAAATACACTATTGTATAATACCTTGAATTTGTATTTAAGTATCCCTCTGATGCAAGAAATAATGTATTTCGTGTATGAAAAAAAATCTTTATTATATATAGTATTTCGTATTTGATGGCTTTTTATTTGTTTTCTATAATTTATTTATATTTTCATTTATGATTAATTTAACATTACTATTTTTATCGAAAATAAATTTTTGAAAAAGCACATTTTTCTATTTAATTATCCTATAATTCTATTTACAATTAAATTAAAAATTTAATTATTTTCATTTAAATTATATTAAAGAGTAGAATTTAAATTTTGCCAGTATAGTTTCAAGTAAAACTGCGCAAACGTAATAGATGAATTAAAAATGGCGACGTCCAGGGGAATTTGTTTTCGTTATGGTTTTTGTTTTTAAAACATCCCAATATTTATTTTTATTTATTAAGAAATTTTCTAAAAAACAAGATTCATTGAGTCTGTTTACATCAAAATACAATTAATTCAGCAAATCTGGATGAATCCAGGGAGAAAATGATTGCCGCCTCTGATCCACTGGTGAGTTTTGCTTACCTAACCTCATCTTTTATGCCGACTTGACATTTTTTTAATTTTAATAATAATAAGTTATGAATATTAAAATTATTTGTTTTATATTTTTGTTTTTAATGAAAAAAATGACTTACTTGAACATTTATTGTTGTGTTCTAAGGAATTTGCACCAGGTGGACGTCAGACGGTCCTCAGGCACCCTGGATCTCTGATTAGTCAACTTGTGGCGAATAATCAAGCGGCCCCCGGTGATAGTGTTCTTTTACAAAAATTTAGAGAAGTTAATATTTCTGAAAAACCTTCTGTAAGTAAAATATAAATTTAAATTGAAATTTGATGACACGAAATAATGAATATTTTTTTTTACAGAAAGAATTTTGGATAGTTCGTGATGATGGTACAAATGGAGAAGAAGAACTTTATTGTTCAGGAAAAGTGGCAATTCACTCAAAAGGAAATCAATCAACAAGAGTGTTGCAAAAATCTTATACTTGTGAGCATGACATTAAACATGCTCTATGGTGTTCTTTTAGAACATATACATTAGAACAATTATCAAAAAGTAAGGATTTAAATGATGATGATAATTCTGCAGGAAAAACAATTGATTGTATTTGCCTTCTCGATACCTACACACTTAAAGTTTTTACCGAGACTGGCGAAGATTATGTTTCGAGTTTACAATTTCAGGTATTTTCAATATTTAGATTATGAATACTTTTTTAAATGAATATTTATAATAAAAAATCTATTTAGGTTTCTGCTGTATGGCCAACAAAATTCGGCTTACTACTTGAAAAATCTGAAGTTTCAACTTCATCATCTTCTAGATATACCTCTTTAGAAATAAGCAGAGCACTTTCAAATTCTGACAGTCATTTACCAGTTGCATTTTCTCTTATGCATCCACTAGATGAAATATGTCCTCTACTTATAAAACACGGTAATTCTAAAATTTTAAAGATCCTATTGTGAATAAATTTAATAATTTTTTAAAATCAATTTTAGGAAGTATATCATACATGTGTGATTCATCGCAAAAGATTGTTTTTACTAGTTCCGAACCATCTTTAGCTGTAATTTATGATACAAAAACTGGATTACATTCTGTATATAAAATACGAAAAGCCACACCAGAAGAATGTCAAATAATTTGCGGAAGTAATGACACAACACCTAGTTTATTTAATTATTCCACGAGTTCTCCAAAAAATATTGGCAGTAATGCTTCTTTGAATAAAAGTGTCACCGGCAAAGCTCTAAGTCTTTTTGGTAAATATACTTTGAAAATATGTATCTTTGCTAATTTAATAATAAAAATTTAATCTAGGAATGCCAAATCCACCTTTATCTGCCTTCGGAATGGGAATAACGAATAGCCCCTTCGGATCGCGTACTACTTCATATACCACAACATCAGGAAGTGGACAATCACCAGCACAACAACAACAAATGCATTCACATTCACGATCACAAAGTCCAATGGCAACAATATCACGATGTCAATCACCAACACATTCGGGATTTTCTCCATTATCGGGAGTCCCATCTGGAACAACTATTCATCATCAAACACGTCTTCATCAAACAATGTTTACAAATATTTTAGGACATTCACAAAATAGTCCTTGTGGAAGTTACAATAGTATGCAATTTCAGGATATTGGAACAACTCCAAGTAAACCAGTTTATCCAGAACTTTGTCTTGATCACGTTTGGACTGAAAGCATCACTGTTTCCAAGTATGAATTCAATTTACTCTCAATTTAGCCTTTCTGTTGTATATGACATTTTTTTTTTTTTATTGATTTAGAGATGTGATTGCTGATAAAGGATCAAAAGTTTTCTTAACTTCGGATCTTGTTGGTCAAAGTTATTTGGGTTACTTGGTTCCTAATAGATCTCAACTATTTTTAGTCCGTCTTGAAAAAACAAATAAACAACAGCAAATTATTTTTGGAATGGTAACCAGTATTATTGCCAAAGATGCAATTAATTTACCTGTAAGTATATCTTACAAAATACATCAAATATTTTTTAATTTTTAAATACTAATTATTTTTTTAGAAACTTAACATGGTGGCAATAATGGACATGTCCAATGGAATTACTTTATACTCAGGTGTGACATGCGTTGGAAAAGTTCATGTTCCAAGTATTTTACCATCGCTAACAGGTTTTAGTCATTTTGTTAATAAACCTTTACGTCGACAAGTTTCTCCTTTTCCCAGAAGAAGTTCTTTATTATCACCAAGTTGTGCCTCGTCTCACGATATAAAATTTGAAGAAGGACTTCATTTATTGAGCCCCGTTGGATTTTGTGGTAAGCCTTCAAATCTAATGGAAACATCTTTAATTGATGAAAATCTTGTTGCTTTAAAGGATTCTCTCGGAAATAAACTCACATTGGAATATGGAAATCAAACTTACTTTAGAATTACTCTCCCCTTATCGAGTACTTCTCCATTAGGTAACAAAATTTTACCTTCTATTCATTTGAAATAAAAATTAATTCTAACTCTTAAATTTTTTTACTTTTAGTTACAAAATGTCTACAAACATTAAAAAGTGTTTTACAACGTGATTTAGCAATGCAATTATTAGTTAAATGGTATGGGGCTCGTAATGCACCTGGTCCACAAAATTTCTCACCAAAACAAGAATGGCATTTATTTCTTGTAATTTTATTCACCCTTCTCGGCTATGAAGTGGATAAATTGCCCTTAATACAAACAACTGAGATAAATTATTTAACAGAATCAAATAATTCAGGTGTTTTAAGTAAAAAGCAAAAAACAAATGACTGTGGCTCTTTGGAAGATTGGGCTTACACGGCTGATACATCTGTTTATGAGAGTACACAAACATTTGTTTCAAATATTCTTGGTTTAACAAAATTTACAAAATCGAGTAAAGAGAATTTTACCACGGATACAATGAACAATAATGGAAAAGTTAATACTCAAGCTTCCTTATTTCCTTATCTACCGTTGGTACTTTTTTCTCTTCATTTACTTTATGAAGAACTTAAATTAAATTGTCTTATGACAGAAAGTTTACCGCTATTGGCACAACTTCTTTGTCAAATAAGTAAAGATTTGAAATTCGATCACTATACTCATCTCTATTTTCTTGATTTTCCAAAACAATGTAAAGTAACTTCCATTTCGCAAATAACTGATGTGGACTTGCAAAAAATTACACCACCAAATTATATGTCAACAAAACCGGCGAGTATTTTTGAAACATTGAATAATTTAATGAATTTTGAGGATGTACCACCATTTCCATATCTTAAACATGTTAATACAAAAACAAAAAATATTGTTCAATTATTTGCATTAATTGCAAATGAAGGTAGAGTTAATCATTTAGATATGGATCGTTATATCAGAATTATTGTACCCGCTGGTAGTCGTGTTGATATTCAGGATAGTGAATTTATTGCAAGGGATGTTCCTAAAAAAATTGAACAACCCGTCGCTGAAAGAATTCTTCTACTTTATCACGAATTAGGTAAATTTTAATTTTATTCACTATTGATAATAATCTTAGAGAAAATATTCATTTATCATTTTTATAGGTATGAGAAAAAAAGATTTGGAAACTTTACCACCGGGTGTTGCTGTAATATTAAAAGATGTAATGCATAGATGTCGAGAAGAACCTCTTTCAAATTGGCCAGCTGATATTTATGAATTAGTTGATCGGCAAGATTTAGCAGGCTTGGAAAAACATTCATTGCCCGAGAAACAAACTGATCATTTGGAAAATGGAAAAAGCTATGCAATAAAAGATGATGATCCTGATCAGGACGATGGAATGGATTTTGACGATACTGTAAATATATTTTTAATAGAAAAAAATATTCAAAGCAATTGCATGCCTCAGATTATATGAATTTTTTCGACTTATTTAACTGAGATGCGACTTTTTCGAATTTTTTTAACATTTTTTTATATAAAATTTTTAAACAAAATACGTCTTTTTTAGTATATAATGCAGATCCTCTTTATTTCAATTATTTAACAAATTTTTTCATTTTTTAATTGTTTAAAGTAAAATACTTATTAACTAATTAAATTTAATTAAAATAAAAAAATCAACTTTTTTTAAAATGTAAATCAACTTTTTTTTGCTTCTTAAAGTCGATCCGAAGTCTGCAATTGTAATTTCACTGTATTTGTTCCAGATTCTTAAATTAAGATTCAATAAAGATCACAGAGTTGCTGAATTAAGAAAATTATTGAATTCTTCGAAACCTGTGAAAATTTCTGTTGTTCAAAGACCTGTTGTCAGTGATCATGATTTCATTGAAGAGCAAGAGAGACATTTACTTGTTCTCAGCACGAGAACAATGGCATTACCTGTTGCTAGAGGAATGTTTACACTTAGAACTGCGACTCCTATTATCACTGAACAACTTCCAATTCCGAGATTATGTTTAACTGGTAAATTTTATTTCAAAAGATGAATAATTAAACATTTTTTTTTTTCTAAATTTTATTTTTTATTCAGGAAAAGCACCACCACGTGGAACGACAGTTGAATTAAGTCACATTGAAGTGCCACCAAATATGAATCTTTGGCCACTTTTTCACAATGGTGTAGCAGCGGGTCTTCGAATTCATCCCGATGCATCGAATATTGATTCAACTTGGATAGTTTACAATAAACAGCAACAGGGTGAATTTGGAGTTGAACATTCTGGATTTTTAATGGCACTAGGTCTAAATGGACATTTAAAAAATCTTGCACCAGTTAGTATGTATGAATATTTAGTCGAATGCCATGAAGCAACTAGCGTTGGTCTTCTTCTTGGACTTTCTGCCACTCATCGAGGAACAATGAATGTTTCAATGACAAAATTATTATCGCTTCATGTTGAAACTCTTTTGCCTCCAACAAGCATTGAATTGAGTGTACAACAAAATGTTCAAGTTGCCGCTTTAATGGGCGTTGGTCTTGTTTATCAAGGAACAGCTCATAGACACATTGCTCATGCTCTTTTGGCGGAAATTGGTCAGTAATTTCATTTTCATATTTTATCAAAGAAAAGATTAATATAAATATTTTATAAGCATTTATCAAAGAAAATAAATATTTTTTAATTCAGGAAGACCACCAGGACCGGAAATGAAAAATTGCGTCGATCGGGAATCTTATTCTCTTGCTGCAGGTCTTGCTTTAGGACTAGTGGTTCTTGAATGCGGTGGTGCATGTGATATTGGAAATATTCCTGATACTTTACATTATTATATGGTTGGAGGAAATGTAAGGCCTTTTACGGGTGCTCAGAAGGATAAATATAAATCACCTAGGTATGTAAAAAGAAAAAAGAAGAAAAATATTATACGAGATTAATATATTTACTTTTTTTTTTAGTTATCAAATTCGTGAAGGTGATTCCATAAATATCGATGTAACGAGTCCAGGTGCAACAATTGCGCTAGGTCTTATGTATTTTAATTCTGGTAATCGAGCAGTCGCTGAATGGATGCGAGCTCCAGATACGCAATATTTACTCGATTTTGTAAGACCCGATTTATTAATGCTTAGAATTTTATCGAGAGCACTTATTCTTTGGAATGAAATTGAACCAACGAAGGCTTGGGTCTCTAGTCATGTTCCAGAAATTGTTCAAAAGTACAAATTAATAAAACCATCGCCGGAAATTACAGAGACAGTTGATTTAGAAACAATGAAGTAAGTTTTAATTTTTTTCAAAATATATTTTCTGAATTCTAAATATTTATTTTTATTTTCAGTCAAGCGTATTGTAATATTATTGCTGGTGCTTGTATGGCACTTGGATTGAAATATGCAGGCACTGCAAATGAAAATGCATTTAAAACACTACAAAGTTATGCGGATATGTTTATTTCACTTTCGCAGAAATCAATAGCTGAATTGGCAGGTAAATTTACAATTGAAACGTGTTTAAATGTTGTTATATTGGCGTCTTCAGTTGTAATGGCCGGAACTGGAAATTTAGAAGTGAGTAGATAACATTTTTTTAAATTTCAATTTTAGAAACAAATTTATAGTAATTTTTTTTTTTTGTCAAATAGATTATGAGAATGTGTAGATATATAAGAACTCGCGTTGGACCAACAAATACTGTTGTCACTTATGGTTCTCATTTATCAACGCACATGGCTTTGGGTTTTTTATTCCTTGGAGGAGGAAGATATACGCTTTCAAATAGTCCAAGTGCTATTGCAGCTTTAATAATATCACTTTTTCCTAAATTTCCTACTCACAGTAATGACAATAGGTACGGTATTAGTTTATTATTATTAAAAGGATTGCAATAAAATGTTAAAAATTTACAGGTATCATCTTCAAGCTTTGAGGCATTTATATGTATTAGCAGCTGAACCACGTTTACTTCTTCCACGAGACATTGACAATTCTCAATATTGTTATGCGTCCGTTACATTAACATTCCAAACAGATAAAATGTCAGAGGGTCAGGAAATTATTATGAAAGCTCCATGTTTATTGCCACAGATGAATAGTTTGAAAAAAGTGCAATTAAATGATGATCGCTATTGGAAAATAACATTTGAAAGAAGTCAAAATTGGACACAATTGGAAGACATGCTTTCCAGATGTGAACCTTTAGATGTTAAACAAAGAGCTGGATGTTTATCTTATTTAGAAGATCCACATGTAATTTATTAATTATTATTATTATTTTATGTTACAAATAAAATATATTATTTAAAAATTCATTATTTTTCCAGGGATTTCGAAGTCTTATGGCAAGGACTTTGACGACAGATAATGTAATTGCCTGGGCAGCACAATCGGAACATATAACATCATTTTCTAATGATAAAACAATTTTAAATATTGTTAAATATTTTCTTGACGGTACTACGAGACAAAAATTTCAAGATGAAATTCTTCAAGATATTTGTCCATTTAAAAATCAAAGTAAAACGCCAAAAAGATTAAATGACTCAATGGATAGAACAACTGATTCAATAAGAGAACAATCAAGTTTTGTTAATGATAGAATGGAAATTGGTGAATTGTCATTTTCAGAGAAAATTCAAGAAAGTTACGACGATATTGAATTGAAACAAATTCTAGAAGAAATGTCCGAATCAGAAAGGCATTTTTTGCAAATATTTCCTATTATAACTTATGAATGTGTTATCAAGGATAAAGTGAGTTTTCTTCCACTTTGGGTTAATTTATATAAGACAATAGAGGAGATAAAAAGAAGGCCAAGTTCTTATTTAGTTTGGCAAATTAAACTAGTCGCATCAAGAATTCTTTGTGATAATTATTCAGAAATTTCTAATCGATTATTAACACTTGAAAGTATTTTAGCGATTAAGCAAAAAACATCAATGATCATGGACACGTGGGAAGATGGTAAATATTTCAAAAAAAAAAATTTAATAATCGCTATGAAATATAAATAATTTATTAATTAATTTACAAAAAGTTATAAAAATTTATCATTTTTTTTCAGAATTAGTACCATTGATTCGTCAATATTTAATAAATGGAAATGTGCAAGCTGAACCAGAAAAGCTTGCCAAACTTACAACTTATTTAGTATTCTATGATATTTTACATCAAATTGATCTCAAAGCCATTTGTAAGTACATGCTAGTATCAATTTTATTCAAAAATACTTTTAATTCTTTGTGTTAAAAATAAATTATTTCTTTTCAGCTGATCCACTCGCAGCTAATAAGTTTACATCGAACACGTCTATCATTAGTCTCTTTAAATTACATCAACTTTTGCAATTATAGTATTTAATATAAGTTAATAATTCAGTTTCTATTTAACACTTTTTGAAAAAGAACGAAACTGTATAGTGTACAAAATTGTCTTATCTTTCATTTTAAGATTTTTATTTAGATAATAAGTTTTTGAATCTTTGAATTTGATGTATTATAGACCACTTAAAATAAAAAAAATGGTTTAAAATACATCAAGATTATTAATTGTTTAATTATGTGTAAATTACTGTACAATATTTAACAGTTAAATAAACTTTTTCATGTTGTATTTTAAATTCTGAGTGCCTACTTTAAAATTTACCAAAAAAAATATTTATCACAGTAAGATTTCTTGAGAGAAAATTCTATTTTTGTTTATTTTTGAAAAATTCATCTAAATGAAAAGAAATTACCTCGTCTTCTGTAAAATTGTTCTTCATGAATAATTGGTTTACCAGTTAATGAAGAAAGTTTACTGTCTATGATTTCACCTATAAACGTGTAACAATATAAACATCCAACAAGAATTCCTCCAAGATGTCCAACAAACGAAGCATTTGGTACAAGTAAATGTATTAAAATTAATTCAGCCCAAACTGCAAATTTACTTGGTATTCTAAATCCTCCAACATTATGCATTCTGTCATGTTCCTCGCAAACAACAATCACTTTCAGTGCAAATAGAACAGCAGAAAATCCAATTGCACAAGCAGTGTAATATGAATAATCAGCTGTTATTTGAGTAAGAATGTATCCTAAACTAACGTACATTGCACTACATCCTGTTGATAAAAGTCCCAAAAGTAATGCAAAATTAGCTGATCCATACATTGGCTCTAAATAATGTCCTTTTAAAATGAATGATGCCATATTATAATAGAGATGCATATCTGAGCCATGTTCAAAATTTGAAACGAAAAATGATCGCCAATCACGATATTTTAATATTTTTAATGTTGATATACAAACTTCTTCTGCATTCCATCCAACTTGAATAACGCCCATATAAAGTAGAGCCTGCAAAAATATTTAAAATTCAAAGTAAATTATTTTATCCTAATGAAATTGATAAGGCTTTTAAAATAATAATAAAATTTTACCTGTGCAGCAATTCCAAATAAAGTTACTGGAGGAATTTTGTCAATACCAAAATTAATAGCTTGCAATCCCAATAAATAAATTCCATATTGCAATCCTGGTTGTCTTCTTTGACCCGGTCTCATTGTGATTTTTTTTTAAATCTTTCTGTTTAATCAACTGAATATAAAAATAGTACACGTAATATTATTCCTTACGTGCAATTTGATTTGTTGATGTAAAAAGGAAATGACACTTCAAAATCTAAAATTAATATTGTATACAGTTAATTATATTAAAATAACACATTAAATAATTCTAATTTTTTTTTTATTTTCATAAATTATTATTATTACTTACCAGATATCTATTCTTGCATCAGTGTAAATAGTAAATAACAAGTGTGTGTATACATATATATATACATATAACGACGAAGTTTACAAACACATGCGTGAAATGTGAATGAACTACATAACCTTCCTAACGACGCAGTTTTGTTGGTTTTGAATATATTTAATGAAGATAAATATTTAAAACAATGGTTTCAACTTTATGTTATGTTTTACTACCAGTTGTTTTTATAATTGGTTTTCTTCGAAAATGTCGGGAATATTCATGGGGAAGATACAAAAGTAAGGATGATGAAAACTTGAGTGATCGAATTTTTATTGTCACCGGTGCCAATTCGGGAATTGGTAAAGAAACGACAAAAGAATTGGCAAAACGAAAAGCAAAAGTGATTATGGCATGTAGAAATTTAGAAAATGCTAGAAAAGCTATTACTGAGATACGCACACAAATACATTCAGGAGAATTGGTAAATTTGTATATTTATGTATAAATATAGTTGACACTATATAAATATAATTAAATATATTAAACATTTCCCGCACTTATTTTGAAATTTTACAAATATTATTATTTAAAAACAAATGTAATTTAATATTACAGATTCCAATGGAATTAGATCTCAGTTCTCTGCAATCAATTCATAATTTTGCTTCTCAAGTTATGAATGACTTTCCAAAAATTCATGTTTTAATTAATAACGCTGGTGTTTATGTGCCATTAAAAGAACATGCTTTCACAGAAAATGGTTTTGAAATTCATTTTGGTATTAATCACTTAGGTCACTTTTTATTGACTTATTTATTATTGGAAAAATTGAAAGAAAGCGCTCCTAGCAGGTAAATTTATTTTAAGTGAGATATTTGTTTTTTTTTTAATATTCTAAATTTTTTTTTTTAACTTTTTATAGAATTGTAATAGTTACTTCAAAACTGCTAGAATCCGGTACAATTGATTTTGACAATTTAAATGGAGAAAAAGGATTAGCAACTGAAGGACGAATGAATCCAAGTTATTGTAATTCAAAATTAGCAAATGTCTATTTTGCAATTGAATTGGCAAAAAGAATGAAAGATAATGGAGTTTCCGTTTATAGTGTTTGTCCTGGCTTTACTTATACTGGATTATTTAGACACGTTAAACGAAGTTGGCTTCACTACATTATATTTTCACCTATTGCATTATTGTATCTACGAACTGCGAATCAAGTGAGTTGATTTTAAAATGTAAATTAAAATATAAATTTAATAAATTTTTTGTTTTTAGGGAGCCCAAACAATTTTACATTGCGCATTAAGTTCTACAGTGGAAAATGAAAGTGGAAATATGTACAGAGACTGTAATTTATACAATCCAAAAAAAAATTTTGATTCAGATGTTGCAGTTAAACTTTGGGATGTAAGTGCTAAACTTACAAAAATTTCTACTGAGAATGCACATTAAATTTTGATTTTAATTCAAAATCAATGATTACAAAGACTAGAGACTTTATAATGTTCATTAAATTTTAATGGAACAAAAGTTGTAGATATACGTACAAACTTAATTTTAATGAATTTATTATTTGTGTGATATCAAAGTACTGTAATTTAGATGATTATGTAATTTTTCTAATGAATTCTTTATGCACTTTTAAAGTGCAAAAAAAAAATTTTATCAAATAACTTCATGTCTTTTATAGAATTTATTCTCATTAAGTGTAGAATATGTTTTATATTTACAATCATGTCATACAAGTTTGATTTAAGTACAGGCATTTTTTCCTTTCAAAAAAAAAAAAAGAAATGTAAGTTTTCAATATGTATAAACAGGAAAATTTTCCTTCCTCAATATGTTTTTAATTTTGTCTAAATTTTATAAATAGGAAATATTTTTTTTTATATATTTCAATTTCAAAGACTAAATTTCATTTAAATAATCACTTTTCAAGTAAATTTATTCTTTCTTTTCATTTAAAAATAGATTCTTTTTCTGATCTATTAAAAATCTTTAAACGAAGAGATAACAAATCAATTATTAAAATATCAACAATACTTAATTCACGAAATAAGTTAATATTCTATTTACTAATTTGTTCTGTACATAATTTTTTTTTTTTTAAATATTTAATATTGAAATACTTAATATCACGATATAATTACGAGTCTTGATATAATTTGAATAAAAAACATAATAGGTACGACGTAATTTACAAATTTTTTTTCCACCGTTTCAAGCAATTGAGCATAATTTTTTTTTTTTAAGCAAAATATAGCAATTTATCCAGACGGTAAAATTAATCTAAAAAATCCCTTTTTAAAAAAAAAGTAAATTGTGTAAATTATTGCAAACGTGTTCTCATTACTTTGAAACTAGCCTTTTTATTAGCTAATGCTTCTGTTCGAGCAAAGACATTCTCCGAACTTTTTCTGATCGAATTTATATATTCGGTAGAAGTTTGAAAATCTTTGGCTATGTTATCTTCCTTTTTAGTTTGAAAAAGACACAGCTGAGTTTCTTTCAACAGTTCCTTTACCTATTAATTAAAAACAATATAAATTGATAAGAGAAAAAAAGAGATATAATTTTTTCGCTTACAATTTATATTAAAAATATTTTTATTTTTTATTTACAACTTACGGAAATGTCAGTCTTAGTCTCTCCAGAGGCAACAGGAATAGTACTTTTATGCCAATTTTCAACAAGTACTTGTGTTTCTTCCTGATCCTGCCTGAAAACGATCTCCTGTTAGACTGGAATTTAGAAAATAAAAATGCAAAAATAATTTAAATAAAATAATAACTTTCTGGGGGAAACAAATTTAAGAAAAATTTGTAAAAAAAAAACTGTGTAAATAATTATATAAAATAAAATATAAATACATAACAAATAGTTGAATTTTTACACCATTCTTTTTTTCTTACTAATTTCAATGGATAACTATGTCGAATACCTTGATTCCGAATCATATCTTTTTCGAGTCATATTTTTAGCTGACATGAATCCCTCATCAGGTTCACTGCAAAGTGATATTGCTCTTTGTTTTGGCTCCGTTTTCTCAGAATAATCAACAATTTCATCTAACGATAAACTACAATCTGTAACATCTTTGGAATGTCCGCTTTTCAATAATGGAAATGTCACGTCACAATCAACATTGTCCGCAATTTTTGTTTTATCCATAATTGATAAATTTTCACACGGCGATCTTTGACGAAAAAATGGATTATTATTATCATTTTCTGAAAATGAATGACTCATTATTTCGGATTCATTATTTGCCGAATTAAATTCAAATTGATCACTATGTTTTGTCGATGTATCATTTGAACTTTCTTCACCGTCAATTTGATTACAACTCAAAGCCATTTCACAGCTGCTTATTGAATTTGAACTTCTTTGTCGAGCAGTTGAACACTCATCATTATCAGAATTAGTCTTTGGCTTCGATATTGATGTTGGTATACTAATTTCAATACTATTTTCGATAAAATTGTCATTTGTAAATTTTTGAAAAAAACTTTGACAACCACTATTTCTTTCTGTTACATTATGAAAAATAGTTTCATTCAATGTTTCATTACTACTAACACTAGGCGTATCTCTAGTTGGTAATGTTAATGTTTTACTATCAATGGCACTTTCTTCTGATTTACAAATACGTTTCGATTGAATATTAAGATCTAGCGATTGAATTGGCTTATCCAAACCTTGATCAAGAGATGCGCCCAATAAAACTTTTGATGTTTTCAATTGACTCATTGATCGTGTTGTTCTGTGACATTTTTCAAATAATATTTTCTGTATCGGTGGAGTTAATGGTTTAATTGTTGTTATTTCCGCATCTAACGATGAACCAGAAAATGTTCTCTTCGAACTGTCTAATCTAGAAACGGAAAAAAAAAATCAATTTTATATTGTTAATAAAATATTGATTATTTTTTAAAGTAAATTATTTCTTACGTCTGATTTGATCTTGAATTAATTAAACTTGCAAGGTTTGGTAAAGTAGCGCGTAGATCAGCGGTAGAAAGACCACAGTACCATCGAAGTTGGGCAATATTTTTATTTAAAAGATAAACTGCATAATGAAACTGTAATTTGTCTTTACTTCGTGCAAACAATGGAAACCTAATTGATGGAGATAATAATTAGATAAAAATAAAATTAAAATGATAATAAATTACTTACTGTCTATCAGTGTCGGGAAGACTTTCTGTTATATGATCAATAATTTTACTTCGTGAACCATAATGTACAATAGGATATCTAAGTGGTACATTGAGAAAATTTGCAATCATTTGTGTTGTGTGAGCAACAAAACCCAATGCTACCGCTATATCGGTATCGTTTGTCGATTCCAAATTTTCACTGTCTGGTAAAAATACATTATTTATCCTGAATATTCCATTTGTTTCCTATAAAAAAAAAAAATACAATTTAGTCAAAAATGTACACAATTTATGTAAATAAATTTTCAATTTCAATGAAATAATAATTTCATAATTTACACATACTTGATTTATCGGATATATTAAATTTAATTCAGCAATTATTTGTCTTCGACGATGCGTAAGTCTAGCAGTTGTTTGAAGAAAAGTTTCTCTTACGTCTATGTGATTTTGACGCCACTCTTGTAGTCTCTCCATATCTTTTTTAAGTTCACGATAACGTTCCATTAAATCCGAACCTAATTTTAAAAATAGATTAAATTTATAAAAAGATTTAAACTTTTATAATAATTTAAAAATACAAACCGTGATCTTGATTTTCATCAGTAATATCCAAATGTAACTGATTTAATGCTCGTACTTGTCCCATTTTTCTCACTCTCTCTTGTTCAAGTAATCTGGCTCTAAATTTTGCCATTTCTAATTCCTTACGTATATTCATAATCTCAATTTTCTTTTCTTTATTCACTTTTTTTGGTTGCAATAATCTATTTAAAGTGGTCTGAGCAAATTTTGGCGTTTGTACACTTTCACCAGAAGCAATTTTCTCCCTAAGCGCTTGAACTGAATCAGATTGTTGTTTTAATGCCTGCATTTTACTTCTTAAACTACGTAGTTTATTAACACTGTAACTGTCTCTTATTTCATTAGAATTTACATTGATATGAATGTATCTTTTTAATTGTGGTTGATTTAGAAAACAAAAAGCAGGTGCAAAATAACCGCCTTGAATTTTGAATATAAGAGAATTATCACGGAGGACGGTCTCCAATTTGTTCGGAAGTTTCGTTCCAATATATTCTAATCCAGTAAATGATATTCCCCATGTGAATAGAGTTACATCTGAATAGCAACCACCTGTTTTTGTACGTCTCCATAGTCTTAGAATTATTTCTGAAAAAAAATATAATTATAAAAATAGTTCGGATATTAAGATTATTTTTTTTTCAATTACCACTAGATGTAGAATGTCCTGTGGCATGAAGAATAGGCACTTCTAGGCTCTCCCATCGTGGACTTGAATTATCTATCGGCTCACTTGTATATAAAGGAGAAGACATACATGATCTATGAATAGTGTAATAAAACCAACACACTTTGCATTTGTCATTTTTATTTAAATTATATCCAATTATTTGTATCAAATTCCTGAAGCGTAACTATAGATGAAAAAAATGATATCAAAATTATTATGAAAATTGTTTTAAAAATATTATATACATTTAATAATAAAAATTTTATTTATAATTCACCTGTTGGGTAGCAAGAGGCAACCAAACTTTATAACGTGGAGCTGTCCGTGGTTGAAGGGTCAAGTCCAAATCTCTAACGAGATTTCGAATATTTGTCACCTCCATTATTTACACACATATTACATAATAAATAAAATACTACAACTCTAAATAGATAATGTAACTGAACAAACTGCGAAACAAAATCGAGATATTTGTTTATCTAATTACACTGATAGGTTATGTGCGATGAAAATGCATTTTATTGAGTTCTTCACTACGAATAAATTCTCGTGTTAACAACCTGATTAACTTCATAATCCGGCATAATAATATTTTTTGCATAAATGGACTTCACTTAAATACTTCAATTACTTCCACTTTGTTTTTATAAAAAAAAAAATATTACATATTTGACAGAAATATGTGACTTGTTCACAATCACTCAACACTGGTAATATTATGATTCATCCACATCCATGCAATCTATAATTTATAAACCAATCATAAGTCTTATTTCAAAAATGATAAAAAAATATTAATTAAAAAAAAAACATAGTATCGAAATTAATTAATTTTTTTTAAAGATATTTTTGATTTATGTAACTATAAAACTAACTTTTAGAATAAATAATAAAAATAATTTATTGTTGTCCGAATTATTATAAATTATTATTAATTATTTTTGTTTGTTGTTAAAAAAGTTATAAATATAAATAAAAAAAAGTTTTGTAATATTTTTAATTATCGATATAATTCATTATAGTTATACGAATTTTTCGTTAGTATGTTGTCATAGAAACTGTCAAACTTAGTTTTCCTTCCTTTATAACTTAACCAGAAATTTTATATATAATTGTAGGAGTTTTAGTGTTCATTGTTAATCAAATATAGTTAATTATTTTTTATATAGGCTAATTATTATTTTAATATTTATTAAATAATTAAAGTTTTTAACTATAGTTTTTTCTAATTTTAATTGTACAAAAGAAAAAAAAAATACAGAATATGGAATCTCCAATAAATGTTCATGAATTCACATCAATGATGATTGAAAAAAGCTCCGATATGCCTTTGGAAGAAAATTATATGAAAATCAGTAAACAGGCATGGAAGGATGAAACTCAAACTCAATTAAAAATTTTAGATCCAAATGATCCTATAATGAATAGATTTCAAGATGCTCTTCGTGCTCATCTTACTCGAATTGATAATAAATTATCTGAAGAAATTCATGAACTTGTATGTTTTTTATTAGTATATATTTACAATATAAAAATCAATATTTATTTTATTTTTGTAATTAAAAATATTTTAATTACAGGAAACAGGGATAAAAACTGTGAAGAAGGATTGTGAAATTGAAGATCAAAAATTGTACAATGCTCAATTAGAAGTTGCTCGACAACAAAAAGTATTGGAAAAGTATCAATCAATGTTGGATAAAATAAAATCTTTATATGAAACCAATGATCAACAAATAAAAGATTTAAAAGAATTGCAAAAGAAAATTTTAGGAGAATTGCAAGCAGAAAAATCAAGGGAAAAAGAACTTATTCGAAAATTGGAGAATTTATCAAATCTTGAAACTTCTTTTAAAGAATGGGAAAATGAAATAAACAAAGAATTAACAATTTCACAAAGAGTTTCTGAGAAAGATGCAATAATTAGAAAAGAATTGATACAACAAAAACAACGTAATGATTATCTTCTTTTTAAAATAATGAACGAAGTTCACAAAATAGAAGATGAAATTCGTTATCTTGACGATCAGTTGCAATTGAAAGATAAGGAGAAAATTGTTGCTGCTCAAATGTTAGCTGATGCAAGTACAGATTTAGAAGTTGTACAAAAAGATCAAAAAATGTTATTGAGTACCTGGAACAGTGTTTTAGTTTGCATTAGTCAACGAGATAATATTAATGATCAACTTGGTACCGAACAAAGGTAATGTAAAAATTAAAAATACAATTAAGAAAAAAAAAAAAATAATTACAAGATTCATTTCAGAAAAATACGCGATTCATTTCAAAATTTACAAATCCAAATTGACAAAATCAAAAAAGATTCAAATAAAGAAATGGAAAACAATGAACAACTTACGGCCATTCATATGCGATTGGAAGACGAAATGAAAAACACAATGAAAATAATTTCACTAGATAGAGATAAAGTTGAAAATTTGGAATCACAATTTGCAAAGACAACCAGGCTTCTCGAACAAAGTCAAAAAGAATATCAAAATTGCTCAATGGTAAATTTTTTCTTAATTTACATTAAAAAAATTTAATTTCATATTTATAATATAAATAATTTTTTCTAGGAATATCAACAATACGAAAATGAGGAGAAAATAATTGACAAAGATATGAGTAAAATTATGAGTCAAAAATTGAAACTCGAAGAGGAAATTGTATCAAATTTAGATGATAAAATAACACATAATAAAGTAATACGTCATCTAAATAAATTACTGTCAGACATTAGAAATGCAAATCAAGAACAAGAATTGTCAATGATTCAAGCCGAAAATACTTATGGAAAAAATATTCACGAAATAGAAAAACTTCATTCTCAACTCGATAGCGAAAAGTCTGACTTACAAGAAATTGACAATGAAAACATAAAAAGAGATAAGGAAATACAACAAATGCAAGCAGAAATAGAAAAGTTGGATAATTTATTGGAACAAAAGCAAAAAAAAATTATCACTTTAAACAAAAAAATAGAAGAGGTAATTTTTATTTAAATATTTGTTTTAAACTAAAAAAAGAAAATAAATTACATTAAAATATTTCTATTTTAGATATTGTCAACCGTTGGCGAAGACAATAATCCACTAGATTTGAAAATAGGAGCTCTAGAAAGAAACATAGACGATGTAGAATTAAAGACTAAAAAATTAAAGCAATTTTGGTTACGTCAAGAAGGAAATATTGTCACAGTCAGTCAACAAAGAAATAATCAAATACAAGAAATTAGTCTTACCAGTAAACAAATTACTATCATGGAGCAAAAAAATTTAAAACTAGAACTCGAAATAGATAAACAAAATAAAGAGAAGGCAAACATTGAAAAAATAATTAATTTATGTCAACAAAAATTAGGTCAAATAAATAGTCGACTTGCCAGTCAAAGAGACTTAAAAGATGAATTAGAGAGTAAAAATTACACAATGAAAAACGAATATATTAAATCTCTTCAAGATGCAGAAACACAACTTATAAAATTACAAAATGAAATTAAACATCTCATTAATGAAAAAGCAATCCTTAAAGATCAATTACTCATCTTACAACGTGAGAGTCTTTCGTGGGAAAAAAAGGTAAGTCTGAAAAGAAAGGAAGAAACTATTAAAAGATTTCGATTTATTCTCTAAATTTCCAGGTTCAATTAGCAATTGAAACGAGTAAATCATTTAAAGAAGAGCGCAATGCAGGTGGAGATGTAGCATTAATGAAAAGTGAAATACACAAAATGGAAATACGTTTGTCACATTTAAAAAAAATTCAAGAAAAATTAATAGTTGATATGGAGTTTTGTATTACGCGAAGAGATATTATTTTAAATGGAGCAATAGCAAAAGAAAAAAGAAATCCCAGAGGAATGCACAATCAACGATTTATACTTCGTAAACGATTGGACGATCAAAAAACAAAAATTAAACAAATTGCTAAAGTAAAATAATAAAATTTCATTATTTTATAATATGTAATATTAAATAATTCATATAATAATATGTGGCTATGTTAAATCATAATATGCTTGATTCTAGGAAATAAAACAAATTGAAAATAATATAATTTCTTTGGAAATTGAGCAAAGAAAATTATTCGACAAATTGGATGATGGTCAGAGAATTTTACGAGAAACTGAAGATGCAATTCCTGATATTGAAAAGCAAATAATGGAAGCCGAACTTATAAAATACCATGTGAGTATATTTAATTATTAAAAATATACATGTATAAAAATTTTTATAACAAAATTTTCAGAACTTGGAAATATTAGTAAGAAAACAAAGAAAATCATCAATGCTTCAAGATGTTAAAAATGGAAAATATAAAATGGTTTTTAAATCAGAATTTGCATTATGTGAAGAAATTAAAAATCAACGAATTTTAAATGATAATCTAAAAGATATTATGATTCAAACAAATCATGATTTTCCACTTTTGAAACAATATATTCGTAAAATACTTCTAACTTTAGAATCAACTTGAATGATGTTATGCAACGAATGTTTTATTATAATTTATTAAAAATCAATATAGTCAAACAATTTATAACCACTTAACTATGTGATAAGTTTTCTTACCGACCCTAATCAATGATAAATTGTTAGGCATTATATGAATTCCCGGCACTATCATCTCATCAGCATTAGTTATTTTTTGATGATTAATATGAAATCCACCAGCTGGAATAATTCTTAATGCATCATTTTGTTTTTTAAAACAATTTGCCTTCATTGCCAATTCAGAGACTGTTATTCCTGGTTCATTCATTATTTCAACTAAAGTTGCACCTTCAAATGCTGTTATCAAATCATTGACATTCATTGTTGACAACTTTTCAATTGAACTTCCATAAAGTATTTCAGATGTTTTTCTCGCAGATTCTAAGCCTTCCTCTGAAATGAAGTATTTTTTTTTTAAATTAAATATCAATTAAAAAATAAATAGGATAAATAAATTATGTACCTCCGTGTACAAGAATTGTGACAGCTTCAGCCAATATTGTTTGTGCATCACGTTTACCAGGATCTTTATTGTGTGCAAGCATAATTTCTTCAATTTCAGCTATTGTTAAAAATGTGAATAAATTAAGAAATTTTTCTACATCAGAATCGGCGGTTCTAATAAAAAATTGATAAAGTTGAAAACTAGAACTCTTTTTTGAAGATAGCCAAACAGCATTTCCAACTGATTTTCCAAATTTTTTTCCACCCTCCGATGTTATAAGAGGTGATGTAATTCCAAAAACCTGGTCATTTCTAATTCTACTTATTAAATCATGACCAGCAACGATATTTCCCATTTGATCACTGCCACCAATTTGAAAACGACAATTATATTTATTTAATAAATGCAACCAATCGTAGGCTTGAAAAACTTGATAAGAAAATTCTGTAAAACTCATTCCACTATCTTGTTCCATACGTATTTTAACAGAAGTTCTTCCCAACATTGTACCCAATCGAAAATGTTTTCCAACTCTTTGAATAAATTCAATTACATTAACCCCATTATACCAATCATTATTATTTACTATTTTTATTGGTTTCAATTTATAATTTGGATCTTTCCAAAAATATTTTTCATGATTATCAAATATAGTTTCTATATTTTTTTTAATTGATGCAACATTCTCTTTTATTAATACTTCTTCAATTTGATCACGTTCTGTATTACGACCACTTGGATCACCAATTAATCCAGTAGCTCCACCGATTAATGCTATAACATCATGACCTGATCGTTGCCAATGAAGAAGATTCATTAAAATTAATAAATTTCCAATGTGTAAACTTTCTGCTGTAGGATCAAAACCAGAATAAACACATTGTGGAGATTTAATTAAAAGTTTTTTTATGCTACCCCTAAAAAAATATAAAAATTACATACTATAATTTAATGCAATTTATTTGTACGTAATAAAGATGTTTTGAAATACTTACGCACTTTGTTCTGGAAACAAATCTTCAAACATTCCTCTTTCGTGTAATTTTAAAATATTTCTATCAATTCCATTTGTATAATATCTAGATGAATTATAAAAGAAAGTTTTACCGGTATAACATAACCTCAATAATTGTTTTGAATTCATTTTGCTCTCTTCACTGTATATTTCGTAAGTAAACACTAACTATATTTCATTTGTTGTAATTATAAAAATTTCATATTTTACTGTTTATATAACATCATCTCTTTCATATTTGTTAAACATTTTTAATTTTTATGAAACATCATCAGACATCACACGCGTGCACATTCAAAAAACGCCATCTTTAATTACATTTACAGAGGGAAATTTGAATTGCGTTTATAAATTTAAATTATAAAAAAAAGTATCAAAATTGTAGAAAATTATATATATATTTCTTAATTTGTATGTATTGTACAGAACTCATTGTCAAAGTGAATTTTATGATTAAATTAAAAAAATGAAATATTTTTAACGAACATCAAAATAGATACAAAATTTTTTGAAACATCATTGACGGAATATTAAACCAATTGCCTTATATATATATACATTCTGAATATAATTTAAGTTGCTTTAAAATGATTATCAGTACGTGTAGTATAAATATGTCCTTCGCCAGCAAGGAATTCAAGAATATCATCAATTTTTGAAACAATATTCGAAGGAACTTTAGATTTAATTTCATCTCTTTCAATTCCACCTTCAGAAATGTCATTTTTTATTATATAGAAAACATGAGATTGATCTTTATCCATACCAGGAAAATCATAATTTTCTGAAGTGGATGATGAATTAGCGTGACCTTGAACTTTTTGCACTGAATGTTGCTTATGAAGACCCATTTGAGCAACGTAAAACACTTCTAGGAGGTGACATGTCAATTCATTTATTTCTTTAACTTTAAACATACGAAGAATTAAAATATGTTTCTCTCCTTCCTGTTCTCGAGGAAGTCCATAAATATGAGCATAGATTCCAACTTTTAATTCTTGTTCTCTTGAATCCACCTCATCTTCTGCTGAATTCCATTTAATGGCTTTAATTGTACCTGTAATAAATATTAAAATTGTTCATAAATTGCATTTTTTTAAAATTCATTTTAAATTTGCCACATGAGTTGTAAACAAAGCATTGTCAGCAAAACAAAGATATTGTATTATACCTGTTTCATCTTGAATAACGTATGTGACTTTTGTTGTAGCTTGATCGATGCTATTAATTCTTGCAACGACAGAAACAACACGAACAGATAAACCATGTAATTGAAGTTCTGGTCCACTTGTAAGCAAATGTCCAATCATTACGGGAACGAGGTTATCAGCTCTTTTTCCTTTTTTCTCATCGTCTGTAGTTGTATCCATACGACTTTCATCCATATAACCTGCATTTCCTGACATACCAGAATCAAATTGGTCCCACATGATTGTAGCTTATAATAAAAATTTTATATCAATAGATTTTAACACCGCTAATACCGGTTGCAAACAAAAAACAAAACAAGTCACAAAGTAACGAACAAGGAAGGCGCCAAAATAATTAAATCAATGAATAATGTGATTAGAGAAGTTCAGTACAAGTTGAAAAACATTGAAACAGCGCCACGGACGGACAATTTTTGAAGCTTGCATGCATGTGGATTACCGTTAAGTATATTGAAAACGCGCCATTAACAGTGGTGACAATAACCTAACCTTTCGTTAGTTTAAAAAGTCGTTTGTGCAGTGAAAATTTAAAACAGTAGTGAGAAGTGTATGTGCATTTTTTTTTATTTACTAAAGAAATATTAGCAAAAGAAAAACAGTAATTGTTACATTAGAAACAAATTAAAAGATTAAAACATTTAGGTTTCTTAATTAAAAACGTGGTGCGAGCACATTGTCCTTATAGTCGAACAAGATGAAAAAATGGATGAAGTCAGGATTTACAATAACAAAAGAAAATGGGTATGTAAATTATGTATTTTCTCTGTTAAATTAACAATTTTAATACGATCCAAAAATAATATATAAGAAAATGCGTCTATTACAAACAGAGTCAATTATCAAATTTATTTTCAATTTGCTATAGATATAAATATTTTCCGTTTTTAATGGAAAATATATTTATTTTGAGAAATGAAATACTGGTTTAATATTTTTTTTTTTTACAAATATTTTATTAACAAAGCGTAACAATTAAAGAACAAATAATGCCTTTTCAATTATTACAAAGACAACATTATTTTAAAATAATATAAAAATTAATTGAAAAAATGGAATTATTTCCACATTTATATAAATACACATATCTACGAATATTTTTCCGACTAAAACGCTTCTTTTAAATTAATAAAAATTTTACAATGAATAGTATCTAATTACATATTTTTAAAACTTGGTTGACATTATATTCAGAATATTTGATTATTATAGGCTTTGATTTGACGTGAACATGTGTTACTAAAAGAAGTGTTAAACTTTGATATTAAATTCTAATTTGTGAAAAATGAGCTGCATTTCAATTAATAAAAATGTTAACAAATTTGTGACAATTAGTTCATTTTTCACTAATTATAATTTAAAAAGTGTGTATAAATATATTTCTTAAAATTTGTTTGTAAAAAATTTTTTTAATTACATATTGAAAGTTCTTTTTAAAATGAAAAAAAACAACCAAAAATGTGCACATGATAAACTGATTATTTTAAAAATGTTTAGTTGTTTTCGGTTATTTATTTAATAATAATTTACTAGTCACTATTTTTGTGACTTTTTTTATATATAAATACTTTGAACTTCTGGTCAAACATCAATATATATTAAAAACATTTGAGATCTGGAGTTTGCTAATAAAAATGCAAAAAATAAATTTTAATTTTATCTTTTTACTTCCAAGGAGGTTACTATTTTAAAACTGAATTTGAAAAATTAATAGTCTAATAAAATTAGAATCTTATTTATCAGTAAATAGATAAATGTTTATTCAAATGTTTATTTATATGTATGCATGTAATTTTGATTTCTTTTTGTTGACTATATATAGGTATCTCTTAAAATTTTATTACATCTTTTATACTTGACTATGTATTGTATTCTTATAACAATACTTTTTTTAAAATTATTAAATATTAAAATTAAATAATAATAAAATTTGGTTAAATAAGCGTAAAAATTTAAATTATAAATTGGATTTCAATAATTTTAATTGAATTCAGTTTTTTGCCAGTCACAAAATTTGATATATTAAAAAATGGTATATTTTAGAAATTATTTTTATTAAAAAAAAAAAAAAATAGTAAAATAATTTTAACGAATTAAGATTTTTTTTTTTATAAAGTTTTTGTGAAAAACCATTGATAAGATATGGAAATATTATTTATATCCGGACAAAGCTGCTTAAAATCTAACAACATACGTAGATCTATACAGTGACATCAAAAAAGAGAATAGTCTTATTTACTATATTTTAGATATACATTTTTCTGTATACCATTTTTTTTTAAATTAAAAATATTCCCCATATTTTTTTTTTAATCATTTCTTTCTGTTTGCCTGTATTTTCTTCTTTCTTTCTTTTTTAATATATAAGGAATATTTAATATTCCATTTTTAAGTCCTGGCATAATTTATAAATATCTTCATATATATAGAGTTATGTCAATTTTTTTTTTGCGAATAATTTATTATAATTTTTTAAACATCACAACACTTTAAAAATGATTAAATGTAAAATTGAAACATTACAAATATATAATAAAAAAATATGTTCCTTTATAAAGGAATTTAATTAATTAATTAAAAATTATCTATTTAAATTAATTAATTTACAAACAATTTTAATATTTAATGTTTTATAGAAATATATCAATGAATAATTTATCTAATTAATTTCCAATGAAGTTAGATATTATATGTAAAATTTTTGTAAAGATTAATTATAGTAAAGATACATTGGAAGCATGAAGGCATGAAAAACGCAAATGATGCGTGTATAGTATATACTTAATTAATGATATAGACAAATAGATTGGTCGAATTTCACTTGCGGAAGATATTCCATAATACATAATTTATATATAATATATATATGTAGTATATTATAATAATGTATACATTCATAGTATTCATTTTACCAATTTCCATATTAATGATATAGTTTAGATTTTAAATTATATGATATTAAAGGCTGGATTTTTTCTTTTGCTCTTCGATATTTTACGTATCTTCAATTTTTTTTTCTTACTAGTTTTTAAATATTTCATAAAAAGAAAACATTTTTTTTTTAATTCTTTTGAATAAATAATAATTGTTAATTTTATTTTTAAATATGTTTATTAAAAATATTGAAGATAGGGAAAATTTTCGAAAATCCTTAAATATAACTTACATTCTAATTTACATATACAGTAATTATGTACAGACTGTTAAACACATTTTAGGTAGATATCTCGCGTTTGACGTCGATAATATTTAAAATTTTTTTTTTATCATAATTAGATAATTGTACGCTGTATGAAAATATATTGTTTAAAATAAATTAGGAATTTTATTTTGAAATTGAAATAAAAAAAAGATTTTTTTTTAATGTAAAAATTTGTAAATATTTAATATAAATATTATTTTAATATTATTTTTTTTTTTAAATTAATACTTATATTAATATTTATGTATAAATAATGTTATAATTAGAATTAAAAAAATCTTTTTTACTTTAAATTATTTTTTAAAATTATATATATACCTATTTTTTTTATTTTTAGAAAAAATTTTTTGTGATCAAATACAATAAAATTAATTTTTTCATACAGCGCGCAAATTTTAATCTAAAATATTATATTAGGCTATAATATACAATATTCTTATAATAATTAGAACATATCCATTCGCAATAATTCAAACATTCTCAGAGAAGAAGCACGCATTCATATTATATAAAATTTTCAAATCTATTTGGCACTCTCCTAGTTTTGTCGAAAAGGCGAGCACATTGGCTATGTTCTTCAATTCAAAGTCATTGCATTAAGTTATTTAGATTTTTTTTTTCATTTTCTACACATTTTGCGCTATCTGGCTGTGATTAATCTTATTTCTAAAGTCTATAATTTGCAATATATTAATATATTTTAGGTAGTTGGTCTATAGGAAGATTATTTTTAAGATTTTCCTAAAAACGACAATAATTTAAATAAAAAAAAACTAATCTAAAATACATTTTTAAAAAATAATTTTATGCTTAACGGAATTTTTTACTTTATAAAAAAAAAACTTTTGTATTTTTTCTCGAGTTTCTTAACAATATTTATTATATCGATTTGATTTAGTTTTGATCGTTTTTTTTTTTTTTTTGAAAAAAGAAATTTAAATAAATTAAATTTTTAATTTCTCATCAAATAAATTTAGCTGATTTTTTAAATTCAAATTTTTTTTTTGAATTATAAAATGTTTTAAATTTGTGTATTGGTGTATATAGATGATATTTAAACGATATTTCATAAGCTATAGGTTATCTACTAATCGACGTCTAATATTGAAATGGTTTGTCATTTTTCACGAAAATGGCAGATTATTCTTCATCTCAATATTACACTCGCATTATTTCGTATTTTGATTTCGGGCTGTCAGCCATTTCAGTTTTTTTTTTTTAATTCTATTACGTTATTATATTTTATACAAATAGAATCTATATTTTTTGATTTCTATATTTTTCTGGTTATTTGAAAACAAAAAATAAAGAAATTTAATTATCCAGCCCGGCTCTTTCTTTTTGTTTCACTGTTATAATTAATTTTTTGATAATTGTCGTTAATTATAAAATTTGATTTCATCTTTTATTATTTAATTTTTTTTTTTTTGATAATTGTCGTTAATTATAAAATTTGATTTCATTTTTTATTGTTAAATTTTTTTTAAATTATCATTAATTATAATTATTTGATTTCTTCTTTGGCTGAGCGGAATAATTATTTTTATTTACGGAGATCTAAGTCTTAATCTGTTTTCTTTCAAATTTTCTTAAAATATTTTTAAATATGAAAGTTGAGTAACTATTTTACTTAAGGGACATACATAAACTACATAACTTCATTTTTCTGAAAATGAAATTTTAATTTAATTTAAAATTATAAAAAAAAAAAAAATTAGAATCGTTCATATTTTCAAAAATATTTTTTTTAGGTAAATGTTTTTGAATTATACTTTATATCTTTATTTTTGTAAAACAGATTTTTTTCTAAATTTCTTGTTCCTTTTAAATTATGTAGTTTGTAGAATCCCTTTAATTATTAAAAAAAAAAAAAAAACTTTTAATAATGTTCTAACTACCATCAATATACTGATAAATATTTATATATCTATTATGTAGCGCATTTAATTTTAAAAAACGGGCACAATTTTAATATTTTACTAATTTTCTTAAATTTATATCGCGATTTGAAAAATTTTTCACTGCGAATAAAATTTTATAATTACACTGAACAATATTTTTTTTTAATATATTCTAATTACGATATGTCACTTTCATTATTATAAATTATAATTATTTATAATATACTGAAATATATGTCCATTTTAAAAGGCTCTTTTATTAATTTTTTTTCTAATTGTTAACAGAAAATGAAAATATTTAAATTCTTATATTAAAAAAAAAAAAAAAAATGTTCATTTCAAATACTATAGTGACAATAGAATGAAATTTAAATAATCTGAATTTAAAATTTGCAGTAAAATTTACTAGTATTTTTTTTTATATACACGCCTTTTAGAGTTATATTAATAAATTAACTAATTCGCAAATTTATCTACGATATATTGAAATATTTTTTTTATTAAGTTATTCGCATTTGATCAATATTTATATAGGTACATAAAATCTGTAATACACTGGAGCATATTATTTAAATTAAAATAAAATATATTTTACCATTATTAGAATTCACTGAAAATAAAATATTTTATTCTCTGATTACATGAATAAAAGATAATTAATTTTTTTTTAGCACCTTTTATATAATCAGATTTTTAATCTTCACTTAATTTATTATCTACTATCAACAATCTCATATATAAGTTAATATTGTACTGAGATAAAATTTACTTACAATTTAATTAAAATATATTTAAAAAGTATTATTTTAACGCTTGTAAGTATATGTTTCTCAGTAGATTTTCTTCATTTTTATTATTATTATAAAATATAGTTACTTTGTGTTTTGAAGTGCAAGCGGCTATTCCGATCGAAATCAGAAATCAATGGATAATTTATTACTCAACAAATATTTTTTTTTATTATTATTTGCGCTTAATCAATAATTATTGAACATATTATTCTAGGTATATATTGAAAATTTACACCTATAGATTTTTTTTGATTTTACAAAATTTCGCAATTATTGCATGAATTTTTCTTTTTTTAGAAATGATAGGAAAATTACATAAAATCTATTTATGTAAAATACCCACATTTTTTACTAGGTTCTTAAAAATATTAATAAAAAATTTGTTTTTTTTTGCGTTATAAATTTTTGTTTTTTTTTTTTTTGTAAACAATGAATGTGAAATCAATGTTATTTTATGAAAAATGCATTTTAAACTTTGATCATGTGAGAAATATTATAAATCTTTTTTAAATGACACAATTTAACTAAAGTTAATTTTTATCGTTCTTAAATAAAGGAACATTTTGCATTATAAATTCCTTTTTTAATTTTTCTAAAACAAAGGGGGGGAAAAAAATTTAGAATTTCAAATATTAGCTATAACACCCCCTTCACCAACCACGTTACCAAAAATTAAATTACAAGGTCATTCGTGGTGAACGGTGGAGGGGGTCCGGCCGCTATGCTTGATCAACTTCGTGACAGACTTCCATATAATCTGGATTGTGCATGATATCCTTTATCATATCCTTCAAAATTGTATAGCGAGGAAACAATGGATAAACTTTTGAACTATTATACTCCTCCTGAAACAATTATTAAAATATTTTGAATTTTATATTAAAAAAAAAAAAAAAAAAATGACAAAAAAAATAAAATTTCAAATGAAAATTTTTTTTTTTATTATTAGGGTTTAATAAATTGAAACTCGAATCGAATGCATATACCTCTGAGGTGTATTCCATCGATTAGTGTAACAACCTTCAGCGCGGAAACGAAAACAATCAAAATTTAATATAATAAGCATGCAAACGTTTTGCTTTTGATTGGAGTTCCAATGTACATAATTTTGGGTATATTTGTAGTTCATATTTTTCGGGTCAATTGCAAACTTTATAAATTATTTGCAATTTCAGAAAGTTATAAAATAAAATTTTTAATTTTAATTTACAAAAACGAAACATTTGAATGATATACCGTATTTTTTAAATTTATCTTTTAAAGTAATAGACAGCATGAAAAAAAAATTTATTTTGATTCAGATAATTGGTTATTTGACTATTATCAAAGAAATATTTGCTTGAACTAAATAAATATTTACTTGAACCAAATAATTATTTACTTGAACCACATTAATATGTACTTGAATCAAATAAATATTTTCTTTGAAGCAATAAATAATTTTTATTTGGACTAAATAAATTGTATTTGGATCAATAATTTTTGTATTTGAAATAAATACAATTTAATTAATTCAAATAATAATTATTTAATACAAATAAATATTTATTTGATAATAGTATGAAGTAACAGATTATTTTGAATGAAATAAATATTTTTTTCAATGTAGTGAAATATTGAATTTATGATTATTGAAGCACGAATAGAGAATTATTCTCATAGACGCGAACATCGATCTTCTTTTACTGCCTTTCAACTCTTTTCATAATATGATTTAGATCAACCTTCTTTATAGGCTAAAGGCATTACAAAGCAAAAGAGCAAATAATTTCTTTCATGCTTCGGGGATTACTGTTTTCTTTCTTTTTTTATTTTTTTGTTTAGTAATATAAAATTAAAATATGAATCCAAGTTGATTTTTAGTAAAAAAAAAAATATGTACAAAAAAAAAATTGGAAAATTTTTTCAAACTTTAGAGATTTTTCCACAATTTTGAGCGAATGTAGCTTTAAACCTATAGGTCCTATCAAAAAAATTACCCCATATTTATAGAACTTTCTTGGGCAAATAAAAATTGCAATAAAAATAAAAAATTATATCTCTTAAAATTTAAAAAAGTTCCGGATTTTTTACATTTTGTAAATTCTTAAATTTGTCATCAAATTAAAATGTAATAAATTACAATTAATTGTAATAATAATAATTTTTTACAGTACCTTGAGAACTCTAATTAAATTTCTTAAACCAGTATATTTTTTTAATAGCCTGTAAAGATCATTGGTCATTTGTGTGTTTTCTGCTTCAATTTGTGCCATTGTCATATCTGAAATAAGAAGAAATTTTTTTATTTTCTCTATAATAATATTAATATTATTATTATAATATTTACAATTTTTTTTTCCTCAAACTTAAAAAAAAACTATAACAGTTAATAATGATAATAAAAAGTATTTTTTATTATTATTATTAATGTCATTAATTTTTTATTTTTATTTTAATATTATATACTAATAATACCTTTTGCCATAATGAGAAGGTCTTGAATTTTTTTCGTACATATATTTAAAATGCATTTTTCGAAATTTTTATTTTTTCACATTTATTTCGAATATTTTATGTTTAATTATTTCTATGAATAGAAATAGAATATTCAATTTTTTTTTAAAGCTGTAATAAGTTTTTTGTAATATCTAAAGTTAAATTAAAACTGAAAAAATTTCCAACCGAGAAAACTATAGTTCATTTGAAATGTTAAGACGTAAATCTGGAGCTTCATTTCTTTTTATTTTTCATTTAAATAATAAAGGAGTCTTTTTTTTTTATAACACACGATGACTGCTAACAGAGATTAAAAATGTTAGTTTTTTGAGATTAAAATGCTACTTGAATAATATTATTTAATCACGAAAAAAAAATTTACCTGAAATAGTGAAAGGTTTATGAAACTAGAATAGTAAAAGATTCAACTGAAACAATTATAAATATTTTGCTATTATAGTGAAAAGTTTCGCTGTTCCAGGTAAATCTTTTTTTCCGTGATACAAATAATAAGTCACTTGACATCAAATAAATATTTATTTAATTATTATTTGTATCAATTAAATGATAAATAAATAAAAATTAAAAATAAATTAATAAATAACAATTATTTGCTACAAGTAAATATTTATTCGATAATATTCAAATAATTATTTGAATAAAATAAACTTTTTTTCCTAAATATTTTTTCTTTATTAACAAAAATTTCATTTTCTGAAACCTAAATAGATTTTATTAATTTCCTTTCAAAAAAAAAAATGTAGGGAATTAAAAATAGTAATATACTTAGTTCTATTTCATGAATGAGAGAAAATGTAAAAATTTTAAAAGGAAACGAGAAAAAGTAGAATCTATTGAAAAGAGGATAGTTGACAGATAGGATTTATTCGAGCGGAAAGGTAATGATCGAAATAAAATCCCTCGGAACAGAAGTGAAACTTTAAGAAATAAGTTCAGAGTGTATACCGCACTTAACCCATGTTACCCAAAGACAATGAGATTTCCTGGCTTCTTGCCCAGAAAGAACAAATATTTCTCTGTCACATTTATTTTCATTGATTTCATGTCTATATACCTAATTGCTCAAACAATACGTTTATTAAACATTTATTTAATGATTAAGTAAAATTAAAAAAAAAATCATAAAATTATAATTTTATAATTCATTTACTATTAAATTTTACAATTAATTTATTATTATAAATTATAATTTTTTTTTATCATATAAATTTATTTCTTTTCATAATAATTGCGATCATATATATATATACTATTCAGCACAATAAATTTATGATGCTGTATAAATAAAAATGAGAAGCAGTTTTTGCATATAAAGGCAGCTGATAAAAATTTATGATCAATGAAATTTTTATAGGACATATGTGGTGATAAGGATATGTAATATTTATAATAACAAGTGTGTGTATATATATATATACCTTCAAGACGTTCGATGCGTTCTCTTTTGCTTTCCGCTTCTTCCGCGAGTCGTGCCGTTGTCTTCACACCTTCTCCACTTTTATGGGTTTTCTCCATAATAGCGCAAGCTCTCAGGACAAAAGCTGGCACTGTTTCCTGTTTTTCTTGCCTCGGTATATCCACTAACGTCCAATACTGAGTCTCCAACTTGATTACGTCCTTTAAAATTAAGAAAAATGTCTTTAGCGACAATAAATTTGTTTTCTCTTTTCTTTTTTACACAATTTGTTGCTAAGGCTTAGAAATACTAATTATTTTTAGTATTAAATATTTTTTAAATACTATTTTTTATTTTATATTAGTATTTTTTAATACTATTTTTTTTATGTAAAACTAGGATTTTTAATACCATTTTTTTAATCTAAAATTAGTATTTTTAATGCTATTTTTTAAATTTAAAATTAGTATTTTTAATATTATTTTTTTTTATCTAAAATAAGTTTTTTTTAATACTATTATTATTATTTAAAATTAGTATTTTTTTAATAATTTCTAATAATTTAATTTTTAATAATTTATAAGCTCTTAATTTCTATTGAATTGTTTTTTAGTGTCTCTTAAGGTTTTCTTTTTTAGTCGAAGCTTTTTTTTTTGAGAAAATTTAATATGTTCTTAAAAAAAAAAATATATATTGAAAATTTTTGTGTAAAACACTATATGGAAATTGGTGAACACATTTTGTTTGCACACAAAAGAATCGAAAAGCAGATTCTGGAGGTTTTTTTTTTTTCTTTGGACCCATGAGAATCTCTTCGAGTTAGATGGTGGAATCCCTTGGGTTTGAAGAAGAAGGGAACATATAAAGACGAGACCTTAACTATTTTCTTGTATATGTGAACTCAGAATTTCGTTTTCTTATTTTCTTACTGAAAGAACAACGAATGGTCTGTTTATAGGATATAATAAATATTACTTGACAAAACGAGTCTCATTTTATTGCTGAGACAATTTATTTATTTTATTTTTTTTATAAAATTCAAAATTTGATAAATACTAATTTTATAAATTATATATTGTTATACATTTACTACTTTATTTTATTTTATTTACTATTGAATTAATATAAAAATAAAAATAAAAATAAAAATAAAAATATAAAAATAATAAAAATAAAAAATTAAAATTAAAAAATTAAAATTAAAATTTAAAATTAAATTAAATTAAAATTTGAATATAAAAAAATTTATAATTATTACCTTAATCATGACTTTCAGTAAATTGTAACGTTGAAAAATATTGCGAACTTGTTTACTATCTGTGTATTTGCACATAAGCTCCACAAGAGCTCGTTTTGCAGTGTCGTAACTTCCATCAAGACGTATTCTTACAGCTCTTAGTCTTTCGTTAGTTTCGATTATTTCCTCTTTTGTTTGACCACCTGTTTAAAAAAAGGGATTCAATTTTCTATAAAGTAGATTTTGCATTAAAAAAAAAAAAATCGCTAATTTGTTTCAATTCACGTGATTACATCATTTTCTCTATAAATACTATTGGAATTAAATTAGCAAATAATTATGTCATTATATTACACTGAAAAAAAAATTATATGTTTTAAATAATAAGTTACTTGAATTCAGAAAAAAAATTTGTTTTTCAAACAACTAAAAATATTGTCTGAATTCAACTAATTCAGCCTAATTAAGCAATGCATTAATTAATTAATGCATTGCTATTAAAATCTTTGGTTGAATCGAATCAGAAGTTTATTTGCTTCAATAATTATTTCTTCATTCGAGAAATTTATTAAAATAATTCAAACGTTTATTTACGTCAAATAAATATTTTTTTGAATTAAACAAATTTTGTTTGAAGTAATCAAAAAATTGTGTTAATAGAAAAAAATTGTATATTTCGTTGAAACAAAATTTTTCTCTGAGTTAATAAATAAATAAACAAATAAATAAATGAATAAATATTTATTTGCATTGATAATTTTTATTTGAATCAAATAAACTGTATTTAAACCAATAATTTCTGTATTCGAAACAAATAAAATTTATAATTGACTAAAAATAAAAATTATTTGGTTCAAAAAAATATTTATTTGATAATAGTAAAATATTAAATATAAAAACTAATGTTTTTTTTATCACTGTTGGGACTTTTTGAATAATTTTAAATTGTTTTAAAAATCATAAAAAAGATTGTATAATTTTCGACAGTAGTGTATATAAATGTACATTAATTCAAAGATGGTTTGCAGTAAATTAGTGACAGTAATAGTTTCTGTCATTTTCCTTATAGCCTCGAGGTGTCGCAATAAGAAAGTTTTCATACAAATTAATTCGCCTAGAGCAATGAATTTAAGATATTATCAAGGCTTGAAACATTGGTATAATTCGAAGGAAAATTGGAACATAACTGTTCAACTTCTAAATATATATAAATTAGTATCATTTTCAATTTGAATTCAAAATTATTTTCAATTTCTCATATTTATTTATTTATTTATTTATTTATAAAAAAAAATAGATTTCAAAGATCTCTTCTTAAAAATATTTTACTCTTTCTTTATTTTACAATATGAGAAAATATTAATTTCATTTTCTGAAGTGCAATCTAAAAAAAAAAGTTATAATTTATTACTGACGCGTTAAATTGAATTTTAGAAAGTCGTGTTATGTATTATTTCAGTTAGATATATCCTTGACAAAAGATAAAGCAAATTATTTAGTATATATCATACGTACTCGCGGTTCCCTCATCCTTGACATCCTGCACGATTCTCCTGACGCTTTGAGTAAACTTCCCCACGAGATTGGATCCAGCTGAAACATATATTACCCCGTCTTTGATTATGATGGTGCACATCAAAGAGATTCACGCCTAGCTTATAATTAGAGCGACACTTGCTCTTCAAAAAAGTTTGTTATTGGCAACAAAAAAAAAAAAAAAAAGGAGAGAAAAAAAATTATAACTTCATGGAATATTGGAAAATAAGGAAATTTTCCCAAGAAATATTTATTATTTTCTTATCGAGAAAAAAAATGAATTTTTCTCCTTTTTTATGTAAAAATAAAATTAAATATAATAATAAATTAAAGAAAATTTTATGTAAAAATTAAATTTTTGACTTTTGAAAAAAAATATTGATAATGTCAAAATGTTATTACAAAATACAGGAATGGAATAATTTCGCAAAATAAAGAAAGGAGAAAAATTTTAAAAGTCATTCTTTAGTTTATATTTGAAATATGATAAGAAAAATACACTTCTAGAAAAATATTTTTGTAAAAGAAAATATAAAAAGAAATGTAGAAAATATTTCTTTTCAATTGTTATACATTTTTTCGGTGGTATTAAATTTTTTTTCTTGATAGAAAAAAACTTTCAGTTTAGATTGATATAGAGAAAATCATTTTGTTTTTGCAACTTATATATAAGTATATATCTATCATTAAGAATCTTGTTTTTAATATAAAATTGAATAAATTTTTTAAAAATTATTCTTAGAAACTGAAAAACAATATTTTAGGCAATAAATATTTTTTTAGTTTAAAATATAGTAAAATAGAAAAAGAGTTGAATGTCACTAAATGAGGGATGAGGTGCTTTGAAATCTTCGCACCTCTGGAAACTTGTACCTCAAGCGGTGATTAATGATGCTTTGCTTTCAAACAACGAGGCAAGTAAGCTTCTTAGTGTTCCATAATTTATATCTTCTCTTCTACATAGAATAAATAATACCCTCAAACTGTACATTGGAAATCTTATAAGACTATATATATATATTCGTCTCAAAATCGATTTCCAATACTTTTAGAGAATTTTTTTTTTTAATTTTAATAGCACAAAAAAATTTTTTCCCACATTTTTTACGGAGACAATAGGTTTTAAAAAATCGATCATGTTGAAATTTTTGTATACAAAGAAATAAAAATATTATTTCTATTTTTATAATTGGTAATTAAAATACTATTTTTAGATGTGAATGTGGTCACTTGTATAAAGTGCACCGCAGCTTTGCGGTTTTCGAACCATGTCCCAATGTCGTCGTATCTATACGTATGTATATGTTGGGTACTCATCTAAAAGGTTGATATTTGTGTTTGTTGGAAACGAATCTCAATTATTTTGCGGTTTCCCACCAATCATTTTCGAGATTATTGTGCCCAGATTCTAGCCACCTGACGACCAAAAATTATTATTGTTTTACCCTCAGCCTTTCACTATAGAAATTTCGTTATTTAATTTATTACTAAACAAATATTATTATAATAAACAGGCCTCGGATTATACGACTTTTTTCGACTTATTAATTTTAATAAAATGCGACTTTTTTCGACTTTTTTTTATATTTAAAAAAAATTTTTTTAAACACAATACCTTTTTTTTAGTATGCAATGCAGATCTTCTTCAGATCTTCTTTATTTTAATTATTTAACAAATTTTTAACTAAACTTCTTCACTAAATTAATTATTTTAATAATTTTAATGAAATTCTTCACAAATTCAATTATCTTAAACTATTTTTCAATTAAAATTTTTTATGAAATTTAAATAATTGTTCATAATCAAAAAAAAAAAAAAAAAAAAAAATTAGCAAATAAAATTATCAAAAAATTTTAATTCAAAATCACTTGAAATTTAATTATTTACAAAAATTTCAATTATTTTTAATGATTTTTATAATATTCTTCGAAAATTTAATTATATATGAAAGCATTTTTCAATTAAAAAACTTTTGGAATTCAATTTTTTTATGTGATTTCTAATAAATACGAAGCCTAAAAAATATTTCTGGTAGTATTCATTAATCAAAAAATTATAAATAAAATATTTTTTAGGCAAGAAATTGCAGAATTTTTCATTTTAAAAATTATTTATTTATTATTTAATTTATTTATTTTTTTCATATTTATAGAATTTATACGAAGAATTTAGAATTTCTCTTATTATAATTATTGTCTAAAATTTAAGACAATCTTTTAAAATTTAATTATTTTCAACAATTTCAATTTCAATTTAAACCTTCTAAAATTTAATAATTTCAGCTGAAATTCAATTATTTTCAATGATTTTTATAATATTCTTCGAAAATTCAACTATCTAAAACCATTTTTCCCTTTAAAAAATTTTCAAATAATTGTATTTTTGTCTGCAATTTCTAATAAATTTTTGAGTAAAATGATCAAAAATTTTAAATTAAAAATCACTTTAAAGTTCAATTAATTTCAAAAATCTAAAATGCAAATCATTAAAAATTCAATTACTTTTAAAAAATGTTATCTAAAATTATTTGATAAATTATTTTTAGTTCTGTTAAATTTAATATTATTGTCTGAAAATTAACAAAATCCTTTGGAATTCAATTATTTCTGAAAATTTCAATTTTAACTCTTTCAAAATTATTATTTAAAAAAAAATTTTATTTAAAAATCAGTAAAACTTAATTAAATATTGACATGAAATTTTTTTGACCATAAAAACTTAAAACTATGAAAAAAAATTTTAATTCGAATAAATTGCTTAAATTAGATTTGAAAAAATTATAAAAATGGAAATTTAAGAATTTTTTTTTTTTAGAAATTTGTCCTACTTAAATAAAATTTTGAAAATTTGTCTTTATAGTTCGATTCTAAAATATTTGTAATAAATTTTCTTGATAATATTCATTATATAGAATTATATTTATTCTCATTACAATAATTATTAAAATGAATTTAATATCTAATAACATTAGTTATAAAATATTAATTAATCAATTAAATTTTGTTATAATAAAAAAAATCAACTTTTTTTCGATAACAAAGGAGTCTTTTTATGTATACGAAATCAAAAGAAGATTGACGGGTTGTTGAATTTAGAGTGACAGAAATAAGGATTTGAAAAATCTGTGTCAATTAAAAATGACTAGGATGATTCTTTGCGCATCAGAAGATTGGTATTTATATATATATATAAAGAAAAGCGTCGTAGTATAGTAACCTATGTTCAATATAGCGTGAGGGCATAAATTATTTTATCGCCTCGCGTTAATTAGTGCGCCTGAGTCTAATTCTAACATTTCGATTCCGTGAATCAGTTGAAAATAAGCACGTATAGATTAATAGATTAACTGACGCCAAACAGTCAAGTCGCGTCTCGTGCAATGCATCTAATGCATTTATAGACCCCCCCCCCTCCCCCTATATATATATATATATATATATATATAGAAATGAGAATAGTCTTAACGGAATCAATATGACAAACAAAATGCAAGCTCAAGATATGGTTCATGCATGAATAAATCCTTTTGTTATAGACTAATGCATTCGCGTGTAACAATAAACATAATGTATGAAGTGCACTAATTTCATTGTCCTTGAATATTTTATGTGTTTCAAGAAAATTGACACTTATACACGCATTTAGTGTTACGCTATTTTTTTTTCCAACAATATCAAATTTAATCATTTATTCTTCAATTACTTTAACACGTGTCTCAAAAAAAAAAAAAAAATTCTAAACTGAATAATTCTTATAATTATTGAATTGAATTTTTGAAATTAACGATTGATTGAAAGGATAAAAATTTATATCAAGACTTTTTTTTTGATAATTACATTCTGAAACCATTATAGTTGACAATTTATAGCATCTTGTTGCAAAAATGACACACCAAAACGGGAGAAACGTCTCTAGGAATTAAAGGGTTCAAAGTGCTCTTGAGACAAAGTGACACGATAAGTCCGTTGAGAGGTATTATGCATTACAGTTTTCTCTTTTTCTCTCTTTAAAAATCCCCCTTATAACCGAGGAAAATTAAACCACTTTTTCATTATTTTTAATCTTATTTGATCCGTATAGATCAAGATATATAAAGCTGAAATTTCATTAATAAAAAGAATTTTTGCAAATTTTCTCATAATATAACTTTCTTTAAAAAAAAATCCTCGCTTTTTTGTCTAAAAAAAAAAATTTTATTTTAAAAGCCTTTTTCTTCCTTTTTTTACTAGTCGTTAAAAAAAATTCTATTAATTAATTAAAGTTCATAAAAATTAATAGACTACAAATAGCTTTGAGACCTATTTTTATCTCTTTGTTTTCTTTTTTTTTTTTTAGTTTAGTTTAGTTTTTGTGCTAAATAGACTCGACATACTCTGAACTTTTAGACGTTATACTTTTCTATTACCGTGTAATAGCAAATTTCCAAGGGACCAGATAAATTAGAGTCACCTCCCTGAAGTACGCAACGTTTATCTTAAACGAAAAATTTTTTTTTAATAATTACATAAAACTCCTTAAAATAGGTACAAACTAATGAAAAACAACCAAAAATACAGTTTAGAAAAAAAAATTACACAAATTACACCCCAAACACCCCCTAAAATTTGAAAAAATTGAAAAAAAATAGAAAAAAATTCATTAATTTAAATCTAAATGCGGGACCAAAGATTTTATTGTTGTTTTTGCATCTTTATATGTCCCTTGGAATGTGAAAAAATTGTGGGCGAATTTGATGATCCGCAACCCCGATTTTTTGACCCCTAAAGTTTGAAAAAATCCAAAAAAATCGAAAAAAAATCGAAAAAAAATTCATCATTTCAATTCTAAATACGGGACCAAAAATTTTATTGTTGTTTTTACATCTTTATATGTCCCTTGGTATGTAACAAAATTGTTGGCGAAATTCATGATCCGCAACCCCGATTTTTTGACCCCTAAAGTTTGAAAAAATCCAAAAAAATCGAAAAAAAATCGAAAAAAAATTCATCATTTCAATTCTAAATACGGGACCAAAAATTTTATTGTTGTTTTTGCATCTTTATATGTCCCTTGGTAT